TGTAATTTCTCCTCATAGTAGCTTCAATCTTTTTAAAAATGTGTGTAAAATATCATAGAGATAGCTCCGGCCGATCGCTAGAGAGAAGGATTCCATTTCATCAGTATAATGTATCGAGGAGCTCTTGTTAGAGGTTTTGTAAACATTTCGGTCTACTTTAATAAATTATTGCTTGATAGATTATTACAAAAATTTAATATTCTTCTCGTAATTCGAGCTGAGTACTAGTCAGCCACTTCTTCATTTTCACACCCACTGTTGCTGATGCTCTCTGCCATACACTGTTCTATAGGCGAAGATGATTCTAGAAAGATATGCGGAAGCTTATTCTAATCAATTCACGACTAGAAAGAGCCCATTCCAGTCAGTGCAATGCAGTACAGTGCTCAACAATAAAAAACTATAAATATGTAAATCAACAATGATACCCTTCCCTATAACCAGAAACTCATCACTTGCTGAGCGACCACTTCGAGTGTCTCGACAGAATGTAACTGGATTATTATGCTGACTTCAGGATTTTTTTCAGATTAAAATAGAAAATATTTGTCTCTTTAAACTAATAAAAGAAACACCGAAACGTCTTTAAAAAATAGCTTTGCCCAAATTTTCTCTTGCTGCCCAAAAAATCTGAGTTGCCCAAAATTTGGGGGGGCTGCAGCCCCCCTCGCCCCCCCGGCCCGTACGTCTATGAGTTACGGCTAAATAAAGATTTTAGTTTCTTTGGCTGGCTTTCTCCGAAATGCCTGACTGGTGCAAAGTCCACGCCGCTTTTGTAGTTTTCTCAGACACCCAGTGTTTACAAATATTATGTGATGTGTCATGCACAGTAAATTGTAAAGAAATAATTTCCTCGTACACGTTAAATTTTCCGCGTCCCCGCACAAGATTTCGATCGCTCTGCTTTTCGATCGACGAAAAACACAGCCCACAATCGCACATGTTTTGATTTGTTTTGGTTAGAAAACCCCGCTTACATAAATCATTTAAATCACCGCATACATTATCAGACCACATTCGATAACAACCAATCAGCGTTACGTCAAACAATGCGCACTGTGTGTCAGCCTATCACAGCGTGTTCCCAAGATCTTGGGAACCCAGCAGGACGCTGGAACGATTAGCGACGGCGTTACGCAGACGTCCCTTTTCCGCGTGCAACAAAGGAAATAGGAGACGTCTGCACGCAGGCAAGCCAGACCACAAAAATATTGTTTTCGAAATGTAACCGCATTAGAAGAGATTCTCCGTGAACGGATCGCGACAGTATTGTTCTAAATAAATATCAAAAAGAAAAAGAAAAGCCTTCTTCCGAATAAACGGTTACGTACTGTGCTTTCCAGTTTCCAGGACGTACTAAAACTGTCGGAAATGGGAAATTTGCTACGCGTGTTTTATTCGTAACGAGAAAACAAATCGTTTACTAATAAATGCCGAAAAATATAACTGGCGGAGGGTCTCCTACAAGAAAATCTCCTATTAAAAAACACTGTAAGACACACATATAGCTTTTGTAGCTAGTAAACCTCTTAATTTTCCAGTTATTGCGCAAGTGATTTCATAATACCTTGGTGTCTATTTTAAACTCACAGAATCACGGGCGTGCCACCTAGTGTTTCTGTTGCATGATAAAACTCGCACTTAGGAGTTTAGAACACCATGGCATTACAATAAAACTCGCTTACTCAAGCTAAAACATACCAAACTCTAAATTTCCACTTGCTGCGCAAGTGATTTTATAATGCCGTGGTGTCTAAACTCACAGAATCATGGGCGTGCCACCTAGTATTTCTGTTGCTTTAAAAATCGCACTTAGGAGTTTAGAACACCATGGCATTACAATAAAACCCGCCGCAATTTCTATACAGTCCCCCCCCCCGGGGGGGGGGGGGTACTGCCATATATGGGCTATATAGGTATGTGTCGCTGTGAAGGGTATGGTTTTCAAGCAGTTTACTCTAGGATAGGGTATATAAATCAGAGCGTTTGGGTCTAGAATAGGGTATCATTTTTCAGGACACTGATCAGTTGGTTGAAGATTTTATCTAGACTAGGGAAACAGCTACTCTAGGATAGGGGGGATTTGGGGAGTTTACTCTAGTATAGGGTAGCAAAATTCAGCTGAACTAGCTCTGGTATAGGTTAAGGGTTCCAGGGTCTCAGCGGCACATCCCCACCCAGAAATTCCTAAAGTACTCCCCCCGGTTCCGCTCGTAAGAATCTTACGAATACTAATGGCAAAAGTGAAACTCAGCTTTTTCCCCGCAAGCAAGTATTGATCAAAAGACTCCGTTAACAATGATTTCCATTCCCATACCTAATTTTCTAAAATCCTGCAACACACAGCTGTTTTTGACTGGACAAAGAGTTAAACAGCGGCAGTGGCGCGATTTGGTAATTTTTGGCGGGATGGCGATTTCACTATTCGACCGAATCCATTTGATCGCTTGGTCTCCGTGTTTTCTACCTCTACTATGACATCTTCATCTACTAACAATAGTCTTTCCGCAACCCGTCGTCATTAAATGACGGAAATTTTTTATGTAGCCCGTTTGCACACGCTTAACATCATTAACAGCAGATCGTGCATAATAGTCACCAAACAAATGCAGTCGGATTAGAAGATCTAACGTTTTCAACATCAAAATGCCTACCAGACTGCCGATGAATATTACCACTTACCCGTTTATCGTAATATCGTTAAGCTCAGAAACATTTTGCAGGCATAGGAAGACCGTCTTCTTCTCGTAATGTCATAAATCTACAGACGTACACACCGTCCTTTACGTTCATCTCAAGAATGCAAAGCTAGCTTTACATGTATTCGATCAGAGGTCAAATCATAACTGTGTCACACTACTTCCATATAAAGAAAGAGTCAATATTTCCATTGTTTTGGTCAAATTTTTAACTATAGTGCGTTGAATGAACAAGATTCCATCAGAGAGATGCAATGAAAATACGAACACCACGCACCAGCGCGTGCGTGGAAAGCGATTCACTGCTGAAACTGCAGTTTAGCAAGCTCACGCCAAAGAAATTCGTTGAATCTGCACACACAAAGCCTCAGAGATCGATGATTGGAATTTGCTGTGGCATCCATCTTTCCTTTACGATGAGTAGTATGCTGTGTGTTCACGGAGTGAATCAACGCTTTTATCTAGCAACATTCGCCCGATTCTATTTGAGTTCTGCGACCTTCAGTACGTACATTTAATACAATATGGAACTACGCTACATTTTACTGAATACTGGCAAAGACCAGAAAGACAACGCTTGAATCATAGGCCACGGCCACGCGCGATTATTCTGGATAACTCGTGAGCTAAGAACGCATATCTTATCTCTGGGGTATGTTAAATTGTAATCTCTTCTCAATTACGACCAATTACTCTATCGCCAGATGCCGCCTTAATCTTGTTAAAAAAAATATGACGTTTATCGAATAACTGACCACTGATTGTCGGGGATTTCTTACGACCCCGTACGCTGGTACACTTCACAATCAAGAGGACTGCATACTTTTCGAATACAAACGGTTTATTACAATCTAGATCTAACAATCTAATACAATCACGTTCAACGATCAGAGACCGGCGGCGAACTCACACCCAGTCCTACGCTTACAGAAGTTTTCTACTACACGAGACAGTAATTTTCCAGTATTCACGTGTACAGTAATTTTCCGAGCTCACAATATTGTAATGCACCTAAATTAAGCTATTATTGCAAAATAACACGTTCTTCGTCCTTATTTGGTTCAGTAAATTCACTAAGAACTCCGGTCACGAATTGTGAAATATCGAGACTGTCCTTATTCGTTACAAAGTTCATGTTGTGATGTAGTCATATGTTCATAAAGTTAGTAGTAATCAAATGACGCTTATCGGATTTCTTTTCCGACACTGATGATTGGATGGATGGTCCAATCCACGGTGGACCAAACTGTAAAGAAACTAATTGCTTTTTCACAGTAGGAGGTTTATTGCTTGTCACTCAAACCTTAGCGTCCTTAACAATGCCAGCGTCCTGTGGCGTGCAAAAAAAAGTCGTATGCGGGTCCTCATCTAGGAGAGAAAACATGACCGTTTTCCAGACTCGACTTTTGCCAATTTTTCCTCAAAAAGATCTCTTATAACAGCATCGAAAGGAATGAAAAAATAGCGTGATGCACGTGCAAATTGTTGTATTGCTAGTTTTGCTTGTCTAAACCTATTGCTTTTTTGCCGTTCTCGTTGCCGTCGCCGTAGCCTGCATGACAGGCGCTTTATGAGCCAAGCGGGGCGAACGCGATATTTCGCGCGGAGCGCGACACGAGCGCGAAGCGCGAGACGAGGGAAAGAACTCTTTCCCTCGTCTCGCGCTTCGCGCTCGTGTCGCGCTCCGCGCTCGTGTCGCGCTCCGCGCGAAATATCGCGTTCGCCTCGCTTGGCTCATAAAGTGCCTGTCATGCAGGCTACCGTCGCCGTCGTCCTTCCGTAAACTCCATATTATTTTAGTAAGCATCGCGAACCATATTTCAAGGTTACCCAATTATCTGCAACTGAATATCTATTAGACAAAGAAACTGTTGCATAGAAATTAACTCGAGAACCGAGACTAAAAATACGGTCGAACGTCCATGTGTGGCCACCTACTGAAAACACCAACATTTACCCACTCAAAGCTTAAAGTTGGAACCTCTCGTGAAATGCCCACCTCTTGTAAGCGACGGCGACTACTTTTGAGGTTTATCTGAATTTTCCATTGTTTTTAACCACTTGCCAGCGACCACTTCACGCATTGTCTAATCTCTTTGTTCGATATATGAACTACGCTGCAAACAGCATCCAAAGACACATATCGTAACTTAGAAATTGCATGCAACAAATTGTCTCCCAGAAAGAGGATATGTCCGTGGGTAAGCTACCACCTTCAGTAGCTGATTTTCGTGAGATTTCGATGAACCCAACTTGAGCATAGTGTTCAACAACAATTCTGCCCGTCCATAGTAGTTACATCTAGTGGCATCCGTTTGTGCAACAACACAACTTTTTGACTGCATCACGAACGTCTTTCATTCTCCAAATATAAAGACCAGGATTGAGACAGGATGCTGAAAATAAGAAAACCAAAGATACGTGATATGGCGCCCACGTTCCGCTCTCCTTACCCAAAAGAACAAGGAGGAAGAGCGAAACAATGAAAGGTAAAATGCACAAAGAAAATAAAGCGAGAATGTACAAGATTGAAAAGATGGATTTCTTATACTTTGCCAAGTCGATCGCTGGTCGACCAAAATTTTGACGAGACTGGTTCCCATGAATTTGTTGCTGGTGCTGTCGAATAATACGGAACACTTTGAAATATGCAACAGAGGTGGCAAAGTAACACGATAGCATATATACGCCTGATATAGCATTTGTCGCTGGTACCAGCCGCTCCTCGATGAAGTTAAATACTTGCAAAGTAACTAAGGGAATTGGCACTAGCAGGGATATGACAGCGGTAAGATATCCACGGCGTGATGTGAGTAAGGATCGGTGAGTCATGTGCAGCCACCGTTCAATAGACATTAGAGTTATGACAAGTATCGTAAGAGAGACAAGATATGCTTCAATGAAAATTCCAATCGCCGAGACAGTTCCGAATGTATGGAGCAGCAAGTAAGGAATGGACACCAAAGGGGTCGCCATACCGGTGCACAAGTCCGTAAACGCCAAAACACTCAAAAGAATGTGAAAAGATGTTCTCTGAAAGGAATTCTTCCAAATCGCCATCAAAACCACTGCATTTCCCAGCACTGCCATGGGGGAGAAAAGAACGATGATCACATGACTTACGACAAGAATACTGTTCGTCTCTTTAGCGCTTGCTCCAGTGCTCATGGTACTAGTATTGGAAAATGCAGAATGGAGAGGGCCAAGTCGTGATGTTGAACAAGATGGCGCAGCTCGGTTCACCTTCGCTTGTGTTAAAAATAAAGCGGCTTAATTGGCTTGATAAGTTTATAGACGGTAGAAAAATTGTTAGCTTTTAAACTGCGTAAATAATATTGGGTATTGTATCTTACAATACAAACAGCGCCAGAAGACACAACTTTTGAACAGTTTTCATAGGCACTGACATCAGTCTATTGAAGGCCTTGGGAAGATTGTTGGATTTCACTTGAATCTTTTATCATATATAAAAAAACCTTAATCAATTATTAATTAGTTTTTGCTGCTATATATGTGCTAAGTTGAAATTACTTATATTCAATTCGATGTCCGGTTCCTGTTGTTTTTGCTTTTGTTGACTGTTGTTGACCGTTGCTTTGTTCTTTCATGAAATTTCATTTTCCAATAACTGACATTTATATTCTTTTAACAGGGAAAACATGACGCTCTTCCGAACTCGACTCCTTTCAATCCTTTTTTTTTTAATAGATCTCTTATAAAGGGGAATGATAATAATGATGGCGACCATAAAAAAAATCAAGCGAAGCTTGATAGTGAATAAAACATTAAATCATAATCATATTAATACTCATAATCATAATCATAATCATAATCATAATAATAAGTAACCGCTATGAAGAAACCATCGATCACATTACAAGTGGCTGCCCTGAATAAGTAAAGTCCGCCCCTTACACCCACCCGAATATCTGCAAAGTTTACAACATCAACTGGCGGACAAGTGGTACAAGCGTACACCACAAACAGGAACAGAAAATGAATGTCCTCTGGGACATGCCGGTTCATGCCGATAAAGAAATCAAATCCAACAGGCCTGACATCATTATCAAGGACCAAGAGCTGAATAAATGTCCAGTTATTGATATGGCTATATTCGCTGAACGAAATACATCTGTCAAAATGGTTGAAAATCTATCAAAATATTATAACTGGGAGATCGAAATCTCAACAATTTGGGGCCTTATAGCAGAAACTGTGCCTTTAGGTATTGGAGCACTTCATTGGCCTCGTTAAAAAGGGCCTGGGAAAATACGTCGAAAACAGTCCTGAAAACATCTTCAGAAGATCAGCCTACTGGGTACAGGCCATATTTCACGAAACGTGCTCTCCCGCACTAACTAGATAACGACTCCCCCAGCCGCCCCCCAGGAAAGTGGTAGCTTCTCGTATCTCTGGGAGGTAAAACTGCGAAACAAGGAAAACATAATAATTATTTATTTTAGCATGTATTGGCTTTGAAAGGGCCGTGACAAAAAGTAAACTTAGCATAGCATCAAATCTTACAGAAGCATAAATCTCATTAATGAGATTCCTCTGTATTTTATTCATGAGCTAAAGACAAAGGAATATTTCTGCATAAATTAAATATTACTGCGCAGAAATGGGGTTCAAAAAATCTCCACTATACTACTCATGTCAAGAATCAGTCAAAGTCTTACCTGAACTGTTCCACGCGAGATAGGACAGTTTCTTCTAATTTTTTGTAACAAGTAAAAATGAAAATGTGCTTAAACTTGTAGACAGTATTTGGGGTGTAAGTGGGATCATTGATCATACACGCTTGATAATTCCAATACCAGATGATACCTTGCTGCGTCATCCTTCAAAAGGGACGCAATGGGAGAATCCACTGTCGATCTCTAACACTAGATATTTTGTGCTTGAAACGCTCATCAGTTCACAGCCACCAACATGAATGACTGGCCTTAGCTTTTAACTTCAGAGGCACAGATTGTCATCGACTACAGTCGAACCTCCCGTAAACGACCACCCAAAGTGCGAAGATTTCGTGGAAGTGGTCGCTAACGAGAAAGTAGTCACAGGGGGTCCCTTCATAGAATATTTCCTACACATCTACATTCTATAAGAGAATTTTTTGCATGTAATTTCTTATTAACGATATGTGTAGTTTCATGTTCTCACTAAATGTTCTTCGCTTACTCTGAGTGGTGTAGTACATACAGCGAACTTAGAGATCAAAAATGGCTCAAGTAGTCGGGTTACAGGAGGATAAATCAGTGGAAATTCCAAAACCGTGATCCAAATAGTTAATCGCGTTCGCTTGCGAGAGGTGGTCATTTAATGGTTTGACTGGGGAAAATTTTAGTGTTTTGAAAAGTGGACGCTTATTGGAGGTGGTCACACATGATCGTTTTTTTCTGCTTTGCTGAAGGTTTCGGTTCCTCAAAGGTGCCATAAATTTAACCAGCATTGTTGTTGAGCTGCTTAAAGCATTCTCAGATGTTAACACATTAAGAAACTACATAAGACATATGGATCCTTGATCTCCAGCAATTCAGTTGTGGTTACCTACGATTCACCCCTTAAGAGAGGGGTACCACCATAATAGCCTATACGAGAGGGCTTCGCGCGCCCGGGTTCAGGCTTCTGCTAGTTGAAAGGGTAAGTATTTCATTGGTTGGAGCATATGAAAGCGCAGGGAAATATGTCATTTTAGTCTCCAAAAGGAAAACACAAGGGCTAACAGGGTACCTTTTCCGTCAAAAAAGGTATATAAAAAGGTAAGGAGTTGGACATTGTGGCGAAGCCTCTACGAGAAGAACTTTGTTGAGTGGTCCCCCGTAATTCACTGATGATAATTCATATTATTAAAAACTGAATCATTGGATACTGTAATTCTAGAGCTTTTATTGGCTTAGCCATCATGGTATATGGGCCATTGTACAATGCTCTCCAAATATGGTAACTGTACGCGTCCGCTCAAAATTAAAAATAAGCAGAAAATCGGTTGTTTTTACAAATAAAGCCGGGAAGAATTCTCGATATTTTGTAGGCGTTTTCAATAAAACATTTGTTCCACTCGCACTTGTTGGATATGAGATGATTATAGCCACCGCGCACTCGTGGAATAATAGGCCCTTTGCATGATGACGTCATTTTACTGCTACGACAAGAATCCCTCAGGACTTTGCTTTCTTGTGCAAATTAGGGCTGTTGTTATCGAAACCTCACTGGGATTACAAAATAAAAATGAGGTCATCGTGCAAATGGCCTATTGCTGGGATCTACAAGGGCAGAATAGAGATTTTACTCCATCACGAATGTCTCTCATTCTCCAGATGTAAAGACCAGGATTGAGACTGGAAGACAAATATAAGAACACCAAAGACACGTGATGTGGCTCCCATGTTCCCTTGCTCTCACCCCATTTAACAAGGAGGAAGAGTATAACTGTCACAGGCAAGAAAGAAAAAGAAAACAAAATAAGAATGTACAAGATTGAAATTACGGATTTCTTGTATTTCGCCAAGTCAATCGCTGGCTGACCAACACTTTGACACGACTGGTTTCCACGAATCCGTTGCTGGTGTCGGCGAATTATTCGGAACACTTTGAAATACGCAACAGAAGTGGCCAAGTAGCAAGATAGCAGATATACTCCCATAGCAGTCCCTACCTCTAGTTTAAAACTATCCTTGTAAAAATAAATACCCTGTAGAACAACGAAAGGAATTGGCACTACTAGGGAGACGGCAGCGATGAGACATCCATGGCGCGATGTTATTGAGGATCGCCGAGTCATGTGCAGCCAACGTTCGATAGACATAAGTGTTATAACAAGTATCGTTAGAGACACCAGATATGTTCCACTGAGAACCCCAATTGCTGATTCAGTTGTATAAAGCGTATGGTTATACAAATAGGGAATCGACATGATAGAGGTGGCAACTCCAGTACACAAGTCAGTAATCGCTAAAACACTCAAAAGAATATGAAAAGGTGTTCTCTGAAAGGACTTCTTCCAAATCGCTGTTAAAACTACTGCATTCCCCACTACTGCTACAGGAGAAAGAAGAGCTATGATCACATGACTTGTTACTAGAATGCTGTTCGGCCCTTCAGCACTTGCTCCAGTGCTCAAGGTGCTTGAGATATTGTTGTTGTTCCACATGACATATAATAGCGCGGTTCAGCCACTTTGAAAATTGTCTATGCCACGGGAATGCATGGGCTTGAGAAGTTGATCGACGCAAGAAAATTCGTCAGCTAACTTCTAAAAGCGTAAACAAAAGAAGTCAGAAAATTTCTTTCTTACATTCAAAGGAACCAACTTTTGAACAGTTTGCGTAGGTCACCAATTCATCCCGCTCAAAGGCTTCCTTCAGAAGACGAAATATCAGTGCTTCAATAAAAGAAGAATGATTTTTCGTAGCATGGGATATTTCTCGTATTTCTCTTACTTCTATTCAACGTAGTAAGTTTTATGCTGGCCTACTGTGTACTAAGACGGAATTCCTTCTATTCAATTTGGCACCCGGTTTCCTCTTTTTTAGACACTTCCTATTGTTAACTACTGATTTTTTTTTTTGCGATATAAAAATATTCATTATATTCCCAACAGATGATATTAATTATATACAGGAAAACATGACTGTTGTATGGACTCGACTCTTTCCAATCTTGTCCATTAAAAAGACAACAGAATAGACCCCTTGGTGATATAACTGATAGTATTCACGGCGATGGCACAAACCACGATGGATTATTAAAAGGTTTTTTCGTATTTTATAAGTTTTTTCATTGATTTCAAATGACCTGTTGGATATTTTTGCAATATTTTTCAAATACAATGTACTTGTAGAACGCTTTACCCGCTGTTCTGAGTTGAAATTATATTTATTCAGATTGGTATCTGGTTTCCTCTTTTTATGTACCCTTACTTTTGTTCACCGATGTTTTTCATGTTAAAAGTTAATATACTGTTTTACCAAGAGCTGACATTAAATTTTTCTTATTAGGAAAACATGACTGTCTCGGCTCTTTGGTCTTTCCAATTAAAAAAGTATACCTCGTGGTGAAATTGCATTGATAATGGTGAGGAGACAATAATATAAAAACAAACGAAACTTTATTATGTTTGCCACCCACTTGAAGTTGATTTTAGTTTTTAATTACTAAAACTTTCCACATACAATATTTATAGCTGTTTTTACTTTGAAATATTCGCATAGTGTACAAATTGAACAGTGAAGACAATACGCCAAACCCAACCAAGCAATGAAATTCGGGAGATAAAACTTTCACTTGTTGATTTTATTTACCTCCAGTCGTTCCTTTGCCACCCAAACCACTCCTCCATGGTTCGCAATGCAAAGGACTTACACACATCAATCATTTCCGACTTCACGCACAACACCCATTTTTTCGGGAATATTTAGTAAGCATCGCAAACAATATTTCACGGATACCCAAGTGTCGGCAAATATCTATTCGACAAAATAACTGTTGCATAGAAATTTCAATAACTCGCGAACCGAGGCTGAAAATACAGTCGAACCTCTATGAGCGACCACCTCCACAGCATTCATGACAGCATTCTGTGATTCTCGGGAAAATGATGGAGAAGGCTAATAAATTCGCCCGTGGACACCAATTGAAAAGATAAACTTTATAGCGCTGCTGAAACCCTGGGGTTACTCCCTCATATGGCCTTTACGGGATGTGCCGCCGGACAGGGTATGGTTTTTGACTTCTCTGTCCTAAACAGGGTACATAATTTCGTGCGAGACTGTCCTAATTATAAACAGGGTATTTTTGCCAGCACGATCGATTTGATCAGTGAGATGAAATTTGTTTGTAGCCCAAACATATACAAACGCTATGGCTTTAAAATAAGACAGCGTGCCTTTAACAGCGTATGTATTTTACGATTTTTTTGTCCTTAACAGGGACGGGGTTTCAAACCCTCAGCGGATCACCTATACTCAAATATTGATCGAGTACCTCCCCCCCGCCCCCCCGCGCGCCCCGGGTGCATAGAATACACTTGCAGAGCTTTTAAGGCACTTTGCCGTCCTGCGTAAGGGAATCCAAGACAGTGTTGGCTTCTGGGTTCCTGGTACTGTATCCCAGTCTTAGTGGAATTTAGATTCTGAATTCAATGGTTGGTGGGATTCCGGGTCCTTGAGCTGTATTCTGGATTCCAGATTCCGGTGCCCCCTTCATAACATGTTAAAAATTTCGTGCGTAATCGTTAATCGAAAACTGGACAGCTTTTTAATTGATTATGCCCGACATGTAAACTGAAAGAGTTGCTCTGGGCGAATACAAATAATTACTCTGAATTACACTTTGCTATAAAAACAAGACTAATAATTTGCGGTTGGTTTTCTTCTTTCTGCTGTACCTTTTTAGCATATTGCTGGAAAGCCTATGGCACCTATTGTTCCCTTAATTACATTTTATAAAAAGCTGTCTACCACCGCTATACTTAGGAGAAAATATAATGACATTCAAGAAAACATTTATTAGTTTTTCCTTGGCTAACATCCATTCCAGCTGAGAGACTGAAGCACTGCTTTATTTACCAGAAGCAGTGACACCTGGTCGGTGGTATTTTTCAACTGGACGGCTTGAATGATTATTTGACGAACCAACGTTCACTGTTAACGAAACGCAAATAGAGTTTGTCAAAATCAATTGTGTTATAGAGACAGTTGGAAATAAAAATAGCCATTTACAGACATAAGATAGATAAACACGGGGCATTTTGTCAGGCTTGCACCCGTTCAAAACAAAATTCCTAATCACAAAGGGCCCACAAACTGAAAAAGGCTTAAAGAAGCGTAAGGTTTGCAGCGCCATGTACATAGTAGAGAATTTTGAAGAGCTCTATCTGTCATACTTTGCTAACTGCGTTATTAATGCCATCTTGTCCTACGCTGCCATAATGCTGAACATTGTAACAATACAAGCGTTAAGAAAAACGGCGTCTTTGCCGACGGTTCTCAGAACATTACTTCTCAATCTGGCAGTTTCCGACCTGGGCGTTGGAGCACTGGTACAGCCTTTGTACGTAGCATTTGTTGCCGTGAGAATGAAGGACAATTATAATAATTACGATTTTGAGGGTATCAACAAAGCATTTGGCATTCTGGCGAATTTCTTCGGTTATGCTTCGTTTTACGGTGTCACTGTTCTCAGTGCCGACAGATTCTTGGCTATTCACCTACATCTCAGATACAGAGAACTTGTCACTCCGAAGCGCGTTATTGCCGTAGTGGTCGCAATGTGGATTGTCAGTGGATTTTCATCTCTTCTCGGTTTCAGACGGTTGTCCTGGGATATTGCTATGATTATTTTTGTAGTAAACGGTGCTGTCTGTCTGACAGCTACAACTTTTTTTCACTACAAAATACTCGCAGAAGTACGAAGGCATTCACATCAAATACATCGCCTGCAAGTCGCAGAGAACGGAAAAATATTGACCAGAGCCTTGAAAATAAGAAAGTACGCAGTTGGCACGTTCTACGTGTATCTTGTTCTTTTGTTGTGTTATTTTCCACAGATTTGTGTCTTTTCTGTTGAGTTAGCCACTGGACATAGCGCCTTGGCAAATCACGTCTCACTTTACACTCTAACGATGATCTTGCTTAATTCAACACTAAATCCTCTGATTTACTGTTGGAAGATGAGACACGTTCGACATGCAGTCATGAGTATGCTGCTGAATATCTATCGAAGCCGAAGTGTTTAGGTATTGTTTACTTAAAATGACGATAATAATTTTTGTTTTCCTTTTTGTCTGATTAGTTTTTTCCATCGTATTTTTCTTCACCGAAAAACGTGTGATATGTTCTTCCATTTTCTCTATCTCTACCAAAACAACTGCGCTAACGCAGCCTCGTTCCCAGGGCTTCTCGGTTGCCATTCCTTTTTTGGCGATTGCCTATACTTTTGACGTCACTTCACCGGATATCCAAAGGTCTTCCAAATTTGGTCAACTCAAGCTGGCCGGGGTATCTGAGCCAATCACAAACAAAAAAATGTTTTGAATGAACAATAACAGCAGTTAACAGGAGATACACGTCATAAGACAAAAACGACATTAAAAACATAGTAAGTGTTTTATTATCAGCACAACTTATTTAGATATAAACATAAAAATAATGAATAAATTATGAAATACGGCGAAAAGAAGGAGTATTTAAGTGCAAATGAAGGGTGCCTCGTAGTGAAAACTCAATCTGCTTACTTGCAAGACTATCAAATACGTCCATAATTTTACACACATCTGGTTTGTCACCTCCAAGGAGAAACTTCATTTTTTTGTCAGTCGCAAAGGCTTGTGACTAAGACACTAAAGTCACACTGTCTCCTAGCTTTACAACTCCCACAGCACTCCCCGCTGGTGTTACGTGGACACCAAATAGCGGGGATTGTCCTTGCCTTGGATCCCTGTCTTCTGGAAGCCTTATCCTGTAAACCAACAAACAAACAACTCAAAATGCTTTTCAACTCTGGCTCTTCAAGTAACGTGATAAGCTGTACTGAGAGGGGTGGGGGTCAAAAAGCGAGTCAACGCCCAATTCTTGAATGTAGTAAGAAGCTTAAGCAACGGCGACGGCGACGGCGATGGCAGCGAGAACGGCAAAAAAAGCAATAGGTTTATTACGCAAAACAACAACTTTGCATATGCATCACGCTTTTTTCTACATTTCTTTGCCGTCAATGTACGACTACGACGTGAAACGTTTTGTGGAGGGCGTAAACACAAGATAACGAATTTCTTTTTCTTTTCCTGAACTTCGATACAGTCCTTTAGAATTCAACTCCTCAAAAATTTGCCAACGTTTGACAAATTGAACAAGATGGAATAAGCTCGATAAAGTTTGAAACGGCACGAATTCAATTGTTAGGTGACGTTTTCGTTGTCGTTGTGTCGTCGTAGCTTAACTGAGCTCCCTAACGTGTTCACGTCGTGGTCGTGCAACGACGGCAAAAGAATGTCCAAAAAAGCGTGATTTTGCTAATCTAAACCTATCGCTTTTTTGCCGTTTGTTTTTTTGTCAAGAACAAGTACAGTAGGGTAAGGCGTAGTCTGCTACACAGCCGTTTTTAGTGTCGTCACGCAACGCTCCTCTCCACAAGGAGGAGTGTTGCGTGACGACACTAAAAACGGCTGTGTAGCAGACCTGGTAAGGCGAGGCAACGTTCAAGTCTCGAAAGTAGAATGTCGTTGGACTGCAATATAAAGAATCTCCATCTCACCTTCTCAAGGTAACTAAAGGTTCCTCTCCATCTTTTACTCCCATGTCAGGATCGACTGTTACGAAGAGACACCTATCACGTGTAAGGAATAGTTAATCTTTGAAGTTCTCAAACGTTTCTCACATAAATGCAATTCATAGTCCAAATTAAAGGACGAAAAATAACTGTTTATTTTTACGCATTAGATAACTTGAACCCTCCATCCAAAATTATGCGATTAGATGTAGGACTTCAACACAATGCATTTGCTCACTTAGATAAAATAACCTACCTTCCACAATCCTTCAGGAATCTAAATTCAACTTCTCCTACTCGAATATTCTTTCCAGACCATTTATCCTTTTGACAGACGAAAAAAGAAGGATATTAATCATGAGTCTCTGTAAACACGTCAGTTTTAGGCTTTTGAGAGAGCATCAACTACCCTGAGTACCAGGGGTTAAAGGGAAAAGGGGGTAAATTAACAGCCACTTTCGTTTGTTTGAGTCAAACGTTTGGGTTATGAGAACCATGTAAATCACGGTTGCCACAGGCAGAGGTTCCTGAAATTCCCCGACTTTTTCCTGACAAATGTAAAATTTTCCTGACTAATAGAATAAACAATTTCAAAAATTAGTCTTGACAATGGACTTGACGCTCCCCTCACAGCCATTCTCTCCGCGCATTTATTTATACTTTAAGCAAGTCATAATGTTCATGAATTGATAGTTCCTTAACAACTTGTTATTCAATTTCATGAACAATAATATTCTACCAATACAACATGATTCATGTCCGCAAAATGTAAAAGAGAATTTTACTTTAGAAACAATAAAATCAATAAAAGTAGAGGGAAAAAAATAAATATGTACTCCTAAAGTTTCATTTCTCCCTGACTTCAACCAAAGATTTCAATCTTCCCTGACTTGAAGTGAAATTCACTGACTTTTCCCTGACCTTGAAGAATTTTTTTCCCTGATCATTTCCTGACCTGTGGCAACCATGGTAAATGTCAACATTGACTTCATCTCTTGGCATTTCTTTCAACTAATCCAACTTGAAATACCCATAAGACTGTATAAAGAAAAATGTCCATATTGGTTTAATATGTCCTCCCTCAAAACTTACTTCTTCCCATGCCTCGAGTCCATTGATCACTATGTTTGCACGGAATCGTTCCATGGAGACAGGCGACGGCAGCTCTTCATTCAATGCATCTAAGGATGCTTCACTGCAGATCAAGTATGGGGCAAAGTCTCCAAATGCCGCCTTGCATAGACATAAGGAAAATACTTGTTTTTACAAATGGGTTGGTTTCCAATAATTGTTTCTAAGTACCTGTGTTGCAGTGGTGCTGACGTATCTGCGCTGGCCCCAGCTTCCACACTTAGACGTTTATGTTAGAAAACAAAGTTTCCACCAGCATGGCTTTAAGCAATTACTAATATTTGCATCCATGTAGTTGGGTTAGGCATAACATGCATAGCCAGTGCAAAAAAGGGGAGCCGGAGGGAGAGAAAAACGTGAATCTCCTCTACCTTTCCTCTCCCCAGGTTTTGATATCTGCCACGTAGGCTAGCTTGGGGGAAGATATCAACGATGCAAAAACCGTTCTGTTAAGGACAATACTCTTGGTTCTATATAAGATAACAAAGTCATACAATTTTCACCTCACCATATGGAAACTCTTTCAACCTGGATGCTGCAGTTCAAAATACAATGGATTGCAGCTAAATCTTTGTCTTTAAGCCCTATTATTATTCATGCAATTGAGAATCAAACTAGGTTAAAACCATTTTAACCTGAATTTCATTTTGACCTGGAACATAGCTGACACTTAGTTCTGACTTTAACTACACTACTGGTTTGTGTCCGCATTAGAGAGGTGTCTAGCGAGAACTGTCCACAACAGAAAAACATCTATTTGCCCATGCACACGCACACAATTTTCCCTTATGATCATGACATCCTCACGTGTCGTACAGATGTCGTGGGTCTCACTTACACAACACAATCTGATGTGAAGTCATGACGTATGCTAGTTGCACATGATAGTCATAAACAAAGATCATAATCTCTAAATCAGCCTTAATACAAACTCTTAAGGGATTAAGACTTTTTCCTGTACATAAACTTCATCTTACACCACCGTACCGTGTCTCCAGGCTGGGCTACACTACCCCACTTGTCATCCTCCAGTATAATTCTTGGCTTTGTGAGCTGATAAATCTTACAGCCAGGCATTTCCAAATAATTCGAGATCCACTCAGCTGCTTCTTCTCCGACATAACGACCTTCACCATCCATCCTCTTCACCCTGTTGAGAATAACAACACAGTTGAATGGCCATTATACTTGAGCAACCATCCTTGGGTCAATGGTAAGTGGCCGCCCTTATGGCTCAGTCAATTCCAAGCATGCCCATCCTCCCTCGGGCATTTGCCGGGTATTTGGCATCTTGTTGGTCCTGGCTGGGGGGGGGAAGGGGGAAATTTGTGAGAAAACCTCTGCCCGAGGGTGAGTATTTGTCAATTCCTGTAGAAGCAGTTTATATAGTTCCTTTTTCAATATTTCACTTTTAAAAAAATATGCCTATTTAGATAGACAAGACAACTCATTGCTATTTTAATCTTTGTCAAAAGATTCTCTCACCTCAGGGGAATGTTTAAGTCTGGCTGGATCACCTACTCCAAGTCGCATGAGAGGACAGGAAAAGAGGACATGATACACATCACAAAACATCTTAAAGATGCAGTATAAAAAATTGTACTTAGTTTTGTAGGAAAGCCAAACAGAGAGTTGTCTGTAATTACTTAAGGAATATTGCAACACTTACGTTAAAATTAGCAGAGAGCAAAGTTAAGGTTTTAAGTTAAGGAGTAAATACCCTGCTCTCATAATTGATTCTGACAAACAACAAACTAAGAGATTGTTCACTGATCGTTCAGACTCCAAAGACAACGCATAGCTAGAAAAATCTTTGTCAAGAGTTTCAAAAGGTGGTATAGATGTGTAATCATAAAGTAAGTGATATTAATTTTGAAGTACCATTATTGTTAAATATGGCATTTGCAGCTCATTTACAGGAAAATGCAATAAGTGTTGCCTAGGCGGGTGGGACATTTGCACACTTTTTAAGCCCCACTGTGGAGTTTTTGTATGAGCCACCTGGCCCCACCATGGAGCATTTGCTGCTGCTCCAGAAAAAAATGACATGTATGCCTTACAAATGCCCGGGGGATGGGGGGATGGGTATGCTTGGAATTGACTGAGCCACTAATGGGGGGTTAGCCGCTGAATAGAGTTTTGCAAGAAATTATGGCATGAAGAATTCACTTCATTCTGAAAAAAAAAAAAAACCTTTAGAGGCTCCTGACAACTTTTGCCCAAGAGGCAGCTCCAATACCACTATTAAACATATCAGAATATAAGTAAAAGTACCTTAATTTCTTGACTTCTCCACTAGTGTCAGTAGTATCCAGTTTGAGGGTTTTCATTTTGGGGGCATTTAGGCATAGATATTGGAAATCTTCAATGTCTGGAACAACCAGAGCCAATTGTGGGTGTGTACGCTGAGTGATAAAGACATCTTTCTCATCCACAATAACCCAGCACCTAGCAAAGAAAAGAGTACCATTTGGTGGGTGTCAATCAAGCCAATTGAATCCATTTGATGTACAGTACCGCTAACATGTAAGTTACCACTTGTCTCAATGGTGCACAGAAATGGAATGCACTACCAAGTGATATCCAGATCATGGTCTTAAGGTAGAACCCTGAGGTACTTCCTAGTATTAGGCTAATAGGGATGTGCTGCCAGATCAGGTCACATCTTCACAACTGGAATGAATATGATGGGGTTTGCATTTTCAATAGAGTTACTAGAATGGGGTCACAGATTTTCGAGATTTTGGAGGTAACAAACATTCTGGTAAATACGGATTCGCCCCTGACAAAGTGACAGAGAGTGACTGAATAGGCACCGCAGAAATAACATTTGCCCAAAAGTGACTAGGAAGGGTTCTTTGATTGGCCACAGAATAGACCTATAATGGGGTAGGGGTTCTTAGAGGCAATCCAACAAAAATTGACAAGTACCCCCCCCAACACCCCTCCCCCTCCCCCTGTGTACTACGATGTATAATTACATTGTGAGCAGATTTGCTATTTTAAGCAATATTCCTCACCTTCCTTTCAGCTTAACGGTATATTGCTTAGCAAATATTAGCTATTAAAATGAGCTGAATTGTTTCCAATGTCCATACTCAATTAATTGACCGACTATCATTGAAAATACCATGTTGTTTAGAGGGGAGCGTAAGGGTTTGCGGTGATGCAGTTTTGCGTTATTTTTGGTGCGGTTTTGCGGTAATTTTTATTTTAACTCGCGGTATTGCGGTTTCAAAACACTAAGCAGTTTGCGGTTATTACAACCTTTGGGTCGCGGTTTTCGGTGAAAAAAAACGTGTCTGCGGTGATAACACTCTTTAGAACGGTCGGCATCCGGTTGTTTTGCAAGCGCGAGCCAAGTGTTTTGTGTTACAACGCATCAGGGTTCATTATATCAGCTTACAATTTAACTCTGTGGTTTGCAATTACGGCCTTTTCCAGTTAATACTTAATGTGATTAACCGTTTTGGCCAATGATGCGTCGACTTCGTGAAATTCCATGCCGGATAATAATAATAATAATAATAATATTTGTTTATTTCCACCATTCGCAGATTTCTCTGAATTACAGGTAGGGTCAGGCAAAGCACTTACAAACATACAATTATAAATATAAATATATAAATATAAAAACATAAATATAATAAAGTAGTAATATAGTAGACATCGCATACACATTATTACACACAATTGATATACGGCGCATATTTAACTGACACGAATTCTGAGAACCGGTCAGTTCGGCCGGGTAACACATGGCATGATGGTCCTGACCTCAGTGAATACGAGGTTTGCGACGAGATGACCCTGCTGGATATTAGGCGGTAAAGCGGGCTAGCGTGCATAGTTTCCGTCACAAATTTCTTGCACGCCAGGTGGTGTCTGGCCTCTAGAGACAGAAGCCCGGCACGCGTGAGGGTGTCCTCGTAGCGCAGGTCAGGACCAAAGATGATTCGTAGGGCTCTCTTTTGCACTCTTTCTAAAGCCTTGCAGAGATACTGCGGTAAATTTGCAAAAACTACTGATGCATACTCTAGAACAGATCTTAGTAGGGAGCAATACACAGCCACCAACTCCCCATCTTGCACCCCACAAGCTTTCAGTTTTCTTAGAGCATAAAGGCGGTGGTTTGATTTCTTTATTATATAGTTAGGTATATACTTCATGGTGAAAAGCCACAAGGGCACCGGTAATATACACTCTGTGTAGTATGTAGTATTGTGTCTTCTCCCTAATAGCTAGTGGTAGTTACTAGTAGTTACTAGTAGTTAGTGGTAGTTATTAGTAGTTACTGGTAGTTAATAGTAGTTGTCGGTAGTTACTAGTAGTTACTAGTAGTTAATAGTAGTTCTTGGTATTTACTAGTAGTTAGTGGTAGTTATTAGTAGTTACTGGTAGTTACTAGTATTTAGTGGTAGTGGTTAGTAGTAGATAGAGTATAATAGTATAGTGTAGTACAATATATCGTTAGCGTTATGATGGTATGTTTAATACTAACGCACAATGTTATCAGAATATATCACAAGTCTTACTAACGTCAGTTTTCATATTGTGGCCTACATGTACGCGCGGTTTCGGTATTCGGGAAAAAATCCGATGCGGTTTGCGGTTTTTTGGCTTATTTCTGTGCGGTTTTGCGGTTTTCGGACCCCCCCTTACGCCCCCCTCTGTTTAAATTTAAGTACTAGCTCCACGTGGTATCCATTTTGGTTACGAGAACGAAATCACATTTAAGTATGACTTTGGAATTTGGAGCCTTTTATATTTGATTCCCCGATCTGTAACTAGTGACTAGTAGTCTTTCTAATATAGTTATATAGTTACACTAAAAATAAAAGTTTAATAGGGAAGAAATTGCTGTGATAGCTCGTTGTATGAGGTACACGAATTTGGTTTAAACATTGGCACTCATACTCAATCTTGTACTCCAATCGAGAGGATCCTATTAATGCAACAAAATCACGCTTACCGATCATACTCCATTCCCTCCTTGAAGCATTTTGCTTCGGACACGCGAATTCCTTTGCACGACTTGACGGGATAAATAATTAGGTCAGAAACGCGTCCCACCTCGTTTAAAATCGGCTTCTTCTTTTTCCTTTGCCACCACAGTACCCCTATACCAGCAACTACGGCAATAGGCACGCCAATCATTAAAATATACTTGGAGTAGGTAGCCATGCTGGAACTCGCACGTTATATAACATTGGGTGCGGCTGGACACCTAGAGAGGTTTACACAACGTATCCTGCTTTCTGAAGGGCTAAAGCGTGTATCGTACATGGGTCGTACGAGCCATAATAATTTCGCGACAATAGGATGACGATATTTGACTACAACTACCAGAATTCATTTCGGTTTTGCTTTGTTATTTAAATTTGTCAATCCCGCTGAGGATTAAAGAACAATAGCCTTAATTTGCACAAGAAAACAACAAACTCAAGGATTCTGGCAGTTGTAGTAAAATGACGTCATCGTGCAATTGTCCTATTGTGAAAACATCCACATTTTTTATTTGGAGAAACTTATTTCATATTATTGCTTTTTTTTTAAATTACGGTGTGGGTATTCACAAACGAAAGGAAGACTTTTTTAAAAAAAAGAAAGGATGTAATGTACCTGTTAAGTTACACAAAGGAATGGCAAAGTTCATTATAACCGTTAAAAATAAATCTCGGATCAGTTTAGTCAAGCTTGTAACTATAATTTCCGTTGTTATTTCTAGCAATAAGGGAAATCACGTTTGAAGTCGCTCCTTTCGGAGGGTCGCTTCTTTTGGCATTTACCTGTGAAATTTTATCGCTACTTTCGGGGGGGTTGTTACTTTGGGAAGTTTACGGTAGGGTGAGACTATCTGAGAAAGTCGTTAAAGACGGGGACAAGTCGGTCAGCACTCCAAGAGAATAGAGGCAGTGTCACTACAGCAGGCCACGGAGTTCTGACGACCTGTTGGTCTCCTGGTCGGGGAGGGGGATGCAGGGAGTGTTACTCTTTATGACGGCCTATACAGAATGGCTTGACGCTTGACACGCCAGTTCATGGTATCCTTTTTATAGGTTTCGGGTATACGAAAAAGTAGGAATTTCACTAGTTAAAGGATATGAAAGGAAGGGAAATTGGCTATTTCCAAGAAGGGCTAAAAGGGCCAACAGACGCCCTTTTTATGGCTGTGCATGAAAAGGTGAAGAATATTTACGACATGAGACTTGCCTAGTCCCTGTACGGCGTTTTCCCAGTCCCTCTCGGTCAATTCGTTTCAGTGACGTATCCGAGACGAACGGGCGGGGAACACATTTTCGCATGGATCACGTGACCTGAAACGCTTTGGCCGCGAGGAAAAATGAGGCCTAGGGACTAGGCAAGACATGAGACCAAAATCTGCAATTTCTACCCCTAAGCAATCTCTTATATTTGAACACCACAAAGGGAGAATCTTGTTTTATTTATTCTTTTTTCTCCACTGGCACCTAACATATAGTGCAACGCTAAGTTTTATTAAGTTTTACTGTCAGAGGAATTCATATTATTTGTTTGTTTTTTCCATGATCAAACCGATCATAACCAAAACCATTAACTCCTAGTCTTTGACTGGAAGGCTCTTCAACTGCTTCCTTACTGCGTCAATGTGTGTCCTCCAAACAGTTAGGTTTCACTGTGGATTACAAATTCGCTTGAAGTTGCACAAGCTAAGCGATGAGTTGGCCTATGAGCAAATCGCTACAGACTCTCCTAGCTGGACAACTCGGCCCACAGCACTCCCTTCTAGAGCTACGAGGACACCGAATAGAGGGGATCGTCCTTGCCTTGGATCCCTGTCCTCTGGAAGCCTTATTCTGTAAACAAACAAATATACGTACAAACACAGATAAATATTTTCCACTAAAAATGGTTTCCAAGTTAACTTGAATAAAATCATTCCTCAGGTTGTCACATGCGTGAGTTTGTTTTAACCAAGGTTAAGTGATAAGTGTTAAGTGCGACGTCTTCAGATCGTAAAGCAGTAGACATTTCATCAAAATACCATCATGACATAACTTTAGTCTGACATTCAGGAGAAGACAAACTGCAACGTAGCACACGTAACATGAGCTGCACCGTGAGGTCATTACAATGTCGTCACGGTGGCTATCAGGGAGCTTTATCAACGGCTAAAACAGCGAGAACGTCAAAAAAGCAATGGGTTTAGGTAAGCAAAAGAACAACTCTGCACGTGCATCACACTTTTCAGTTTTGTAAATTTCTTTGCCGTCAATAGACGATTACGGCGTGAAAGTGCCTCATTGAACGTTTTAGGGAGAACGTAAACACGCGACGACGAATTTTTCTCTCTCTTTTTACACTTGAGTGCAGTCCCCAAGAAATCAACTCCTGGGAAATTCGCCTACATTTGACGTATTCAGCCAACTGGAATAACGCTTTTGCTGCCGTCGCCGTCGTCGATGCTAAAGCTCCCCATTCGGGGAGTTTAAGACGGCAGGCGATGGCAACCCCAACGTCAAACAATAGGTATTGGTCTGCCTCCAACGCAAATAACTGGTGATGAAGCGTAAGTGGCCAGGGGAAAGGAAAAGAAGGGAGCTGAGGCGAAGACCGTTTTCTCCATCCCGCCTTCCTTTGCGCGCAAATTTACATAGCGTGGGTCAGGAAAATACGGACTAAGACTTGGAAATGAAGGAAAAGAAAGAAGAGAAGTTGCATAAAAACCATAGTGAGGGTCTGGATTAAGAGAGTAAGCATTTTTTCCCTTCTTCCAAAAGTCCAGCTCGTGATCACCTTTTTACTTATTTTTAACAAATATAGCAGTATAGGACAAGAACAAAAGCTTATTTAATTATTATTTTAAAGTCAAATACCTTCTCAGGGTGGCCAAAGGTTCGCGACCATCCTTTTCTCCTAGTGCAGGATTGACTGTTATAAGGATACACCTAAAACGTTTGCCACAAGAATATGTCCTAAAAATTTCATGACGCAATAAATGCTAAAGTCTAAATTAATCCAAGAAAACCGCTATCATGGAAAAGGTTTCGGCTCCATTCAGAGGCCGAAGTTATCCGTACCCGAACCGAATACCGTGAAGAAAGTACAGTACGCAAAATGTTCGGCGTCTGAATTGGTTAAGTATGGTTATTTCAATACTACCACAGTGATAGTAGATTTTTAGCAGCAATCTTGTCAAAGTCTGTCTTTATCACAAGAAACGCGATCCTAATCTGTACCATAAAGGAAAAAACCTACATCAAACACTAAAAGTACCGTACCAAATACCTAGGCACCTCGAAGCCGCTTTAAGAAATCTCGGCTGCACGTCTTTGTTGAAACACATTTCTTCAAAGTTTTTCAGAAGTTCGCCAAATTTTCTGGCAATTCCCTACACAACATTCACGCTCTCCCTTGTTTTCTCAACTCACGATTATTACTAACGACATTACAAGAAACACCTGACTAAACAAGTGACACCCCCTTGCCCCCTAATCATTCGTTGATTTTTGTACCTGTCACACCGTTTCAGGAACCTGAATTGAGCTCCCCCTATCTGAAGATTCTTGCCAATCCACTTGTCCTGTTAAAGGAGGGAAATATTGCACAGGTAATCAAATATTCTTGTTTTGCAAAAAAGAGGCTTTCCAAACTACGGATTTTTCTCGCTTAAAATGTCAGCTTATGCGAAAAAAAAAAATGACACAGCATGTTTTGTAAAGGTTTTCCAAGTTTCAGCCGACGAGGGAATGGGTGAATAAAGGAAGCTTGTAGGGTTTTCAACTCAAAAACTTTTTTCAAATTCGTGCTTGCGTGATTAGCGCGCGAAAAGCAAAACTTGACGTCACAACCATGTTTGCATATTCTCATGCAAACACGCCTCTCAGGCAATCAGAGCGCACGTACTATCTTAGTTATTTTATAATATAGATTATTAATCGTATGAATATTCTCTCCTGGTTTGTTGGAATGGGCCGAGGAAGGGGAGGGCACCTCGCATGAGACCCAAAAACTTGCGTGGGGGACCAAGATTATTCGGCAACCCGGCCACAAGAACTACCAAGTAAAATGTACATAGAAAGAAAATAAAATACCTCTTCCCATGCCTTGAGTCCTCTAACCACTATGTTTGGACGGAACCTTGTCATAGAGACCGGCATTGGTAGCTCTTCATTCAGTGCATCTAAGGATGCTTCATTAGTAATCAGGTACGGGGCAAACTCACCAAATGACACCTTCGAAGAAAAAGAAGAAAGAAGTTTAAGACAGACTTGATCCATCCCCACTTTATTAGGTTTTCGAATACAATTGATTTCTACGTCAAAAAATCAAGATAAACCAACAATCAGCGTGCAAAGAAAATAGTCTCTTACTATTAGGCTGGTGAATTCTGTTCATAACTTATCCGATAGGCAAGTGAAGCCTTTTGGGCAACCCAAATTACAGAAGAACTGTAACCAATCCTGCTCAGGGGCGGATCTAGGGGGAGGGTGCAGGGGGTGCGCCAGCCCGAATGTTACCAAATAAAGGAGCAATGAAAATTCCGTAATCGCTTTTGCTAGATTTCTCCATTTTTCTTGTGTTTCCTACGGGTAAAGCAGTACTTCTGCGAGCTGATTTAGGTGACAAGTTCATGGGGATGTCCACATAATTCGGTATGATGACCAAATCTTTCGGAACAACGCAACACGCCACGAAGAGACCATATAAAAATAGTTGCTGTATGGACTGTTCATTTCATAATAGGGGGTAAAAAATTAGTATAGGTAATAGCATGATTTGTAGTGATATTAAGCATAAATCTGATAAATACCCGATGAGTGTTATTTCGAAATTGTTATACGGAATTTCATGAGCCGTTAGGTGAGTGAAATTTGAGACAATTTTGAAATATCACGAGTGGTATTTATGCCTAATATCACATACAAATCATGCTATTATTTGTTTATACTACTACCCGCAAAAGGTTTGTAATTTTCACATGTAGCTATTTCAAATTTCATGAAATACCACTGCTCCAAGCCGATCAAATTGCAGAAATTTCTCATGTAGTAGTATAAATATTATAATACTGATGGTATTAACCCATGTCGGTACCTGCATGCCAAAGGGTTTGGTTTTTTAAAAGTCCCATTGGTCTGAAATGGCACTGATATCAGGGGCGGATCTAGGGGGAGGGTGCAGGGGGTGTGCACCCCCCCCCCCTCCCTGAGATGACCTGCGGTTTTCTAATACAACTGGTATTCTGCAAAAAAAAAACTATGTGGATTATTGGTGTTGAAGCAGAGCAAGAGACGAGTGCACCCCCTCCTAAAAAAGATCCTGGATCCGCCCCTGGATATATAGTAGATTTTAATTGTTGTGGAACAGTATTGAGTACGTTTTTTATAGCATGCTTCTGAGGTATTTTTATCAAGCACATATAATTAATTTTACAGTACCTCATCGCCTGGTTGAGCAACATCGCCCCACTCTTTATCCTCCTGTATAATTCTTGGCTTTGTGAGCTGATAGATCTTACAGCCAGGTTTATCCAAATAGTTTGATATCCACTCAGCTGCTTCGTCTCCTACATAACGACCTTCACCATACGTGTTCCACACTCTGTTAAAAGAGTCACAGTGATTGTGTTTAAGCAACAAGAAACAGTATTACTTGATGACTACTCAATTAATAAAAGAAAGGAATCATAGTCTAAAAAATACTGTTTTACTACATTGGTAATGAAGCATAGTTTTCTCCATGTTTCGCCTACTTAGGCCTTTTTGCATAGTGCACAGGTTATGCAGTTGCTATAGATGAGTTTGATGCATGTAAAGTGGTCAATGATATTATCAGACCATTTAAGCCTGAGATTATTTTTGCCTAAGCTAACAGTTCATAGAACCAAACTGGGGGTAAAATTTCAACAACTAATTTTTCAAAACGAACATTTTACAGTACCTCCTGTACCATGGACTTGGAAGACGCAAAAGTTACACAACCTGAATGCCAGCCAATGTCTCAAAAATTAGTCTAACTTTCTCCGTAATGAAGCTATCATTTGAATCCAAAACTCATCTTGTACAGAAATATCAAAAACCTCCTCACGCATCCATCTCCCCAGTTCATGTAGTAATTTTAAGAAAATCACAATCCCGTAGGTGCAGCAAATATATTTTAATAGTGACAGAGTCGCTTTTTTAAGTAGATACTAGTACTTGTTTAATCACTAAATGAAAAAAGTCATAGCACCTAATTCTTTTTAATGCCCCACTCTCACTCATAATGTTCAGTTTGAGAGTTTTCATCTTCGGGGCATTCAGGCAAAGGTACTTGTCATCTTCAAAATGAGGAACAACCAGTGCTAACTTTGGGTCTTTACGCTGACTGACGAAGGTGTCTTTCTCATCCAAAATAATCCAGTACCTTTAAGAAAACAATAAATTTCATGTAAAGCAAAAATGTGAGGTGGGTACTCTTAGAAGTAATTGACATTACAAGGGAATCTTTCTTCCAGTACACCTCCCTTTAGCAGACACGTAGAGCCATGGGGGGGGGAGGGTGGGGGTACTCCCCTATGAAAGTGATTGGGTTGCCGTGTGGAAAATTTCGAGAACAACCCTAAAAGGCACCAGAATCTCGTTTTATGGGTGTGTCCCAAATTTTTCCGCCCCTAAGAGGTACCAATTCAACAGCAACAAATTATATAACTGGCACTGCAAATTTTAATAGTAATAAAGATAACTTTTGAACACTTTCTTCTCAAGGACTTTTTGAATGCATTGTCATAAAAGTTTACCCTAATAAAGCATATCATTTTAACAGAATCTGGCAGCAGTCATTTAAGGTTTGAGCTCCTAAGTGGTACCAATCCACAAATTTAAACCCCTAAAAGGTACAACAAGCAGCCCACCACTTTTATAGGGGAATACCCCCCACCCCTGCCCCCTGCCCTGCACCTAGAGTTGGTTCCTGGTTATGTGAGGTTATCCTCTTAAACTTCCCTAGTCCCTGAACAGTATTTTCCCAGGCCTTTTCTGTCAGTTCACTTCACCATTGACGTATCCAAGGCAAATGGGCAGAAAACATCTTCCCTCTGACCACGTGACCTGAAACCCCTTGCCCATGTAGAATAATGAGGCCTACTAACTAGGCAACTCTTAAAAGTAAGCAAGGCAAGGCACCTTCAACAGAGTACCAAACTAAAAAGATTTTGCCTCGAACAAAGTCAGACTTGAGGGCCTCAGTGGGAGCTTCTCTTAATCTAACCCATTTGGGCCTAAGAATGACCAACAATTTTCACCTGACGATATCATACCTAATCAAGGGAAATTGTTCTGAGAACAAAATAGTGATCACGACCTCAGTCCACAAAACTGGATTGGATAACTTAAAGTCTGCAATCTGTAAGCTTTGGTGACCAACTGGAGTTCATCAGATCTTGGTTTGTTGACACCTGCAGTGATCAAATTGTACCCCTGACAAGTGGAATGTGACGTGCGTAACTCAGCTTCCTGGTGAATACACTAACACTGAAATAAATCTCATTTTCACATGGATTACGCGCGCGCCTTCTAACCTAAGAACCATTTTCAGGAAGCTTGTCTACAGAGAGAGAGGCGACAGGCAACACTAAACTTTAATAGTCGGAGCCTCATTGATCACCATGTTTCATTAACAGTAAATTCAAACGTAACACAATTACGCTAGCATACCTGTCAAACTCCATTCCCTCTTTGAAGCATTTGGCCTCAGTCACGCGAATTCCTTTGCACGACTTGACAGGATAAATAAACAGCTCAGAAACGCGTCCCATTTCTTCGTAAGTCCGTTTCTTCTCTCCTTTTTTCTTCCACCATAGTGCTGCTAAACTAGCAAAGGTGAGCACGGGCAAACCTATCAAAAGAATATACTTCGAGTATGACGAGGGCGTTGCAGCCATTTTGGAAGTCTTGACTTAGTAACCTGGTCAGTGTCAACAAAAACAAACATGGCGCTAGAACCAAAGAAAAAGAAGGCGAAACACGAGGATTCTAATTTGTCCGTAGGCGGTACTGATTTCTTTTCCGTATATAACGCATTATAATCCTCGCAAATTAGTCTTCAGTTTACACTAATTGCACTGATTTTTCGTTTTTAGAATTTAACGACAAGAAGAAAGCTGCAGTTCTTACAGTTCCACGGGCTGTCCTTGCAGACGAATTCACGCGGCAGTTTAAAACAGGTTACTTATTCACAATATATACTTTTTGAGAAACTGATATACTTTGAGAGGTGATTATAGTGTTTGTTAAGTTTTGTTCTTTTCGCGAGATGTGACACACGTGTTTCATAAAGAATAAAGGGCCGCGACAGAAATAATTTTCACCCCGCCGCACGTGTTAAGGTCGGAGCGCGAACGCCTTTGTAAAGCACATTTTGAAGGTTGTCGAGCCAAAAATACAAGCTTACACATTTATTGTGTTCTTTTGTCGACTTGCAGTAGAAGTTTTCGCAGCTGATATAAAGGACAGAACCAAAACTTCAGAACTTATAAGGTAACGTCGCGCGCTGACAATTATTAATCTGAAATCGAAGTAAACAAAAGTCATGCGTGTTTGTCTGTTTTTTTTTCTTTTACGAACCAGATTGAAAATTTTTATTCTACTTTTTCTTTTTACAGAAGTCTAAATGATAAATTCCCACTTGCAGGATTGGAGCATTTAAAGAGGGTCCGAAGCATTAAACATGGGAAAGGTTAGTCTCATCTCTTTGGTTAGAAGGTAGAACAGTAAGCTTACAGAGTGCAAAGAAAAGAGTGATCGTTCATTTTTTACTTCAGCAAAAGTCCGTGCTATATTCGCGTGGAGTGCTACTTGTTCTTGTTTTTATTCTGCCCTTTTTCGTCATCTGGGTTAATTAACATACTCAAAAGTAATCAGTATAACAAATTTCATGTGCTGGGTATGTGATCTCCCATATGGTCTAGCGGTTAGGATTCCTGGTTTTCACCCAGGCGGCCCGGGTTCGACTCCCGGTATGGGAACACAAATATTTTTTTTTTAATTTTTTTAATTCAGCTTTGTCTTACTTATGAAACAATTTGTATTTTTTTTGCCATCTTCATTTTCAGATACCATAATTCAAATTATTTTGTGCCCGAAGAAGAAACAATGTGTGGACTTCATCAGTTCTTTGAAGGATCTTTTGCAACAAAATAGAATTAACTCTGAGCTTCTTGGTGAACCTTTTGTGACAAATGTGGCAAAGCATTCACCACTTACCAGGGAACAGTTCAATGAGGCCTCCTCCTGCTGGCCGGTCAATTTTCATGAGGATAAATAGTATGTGGAGAGAGGGAGAGAGTTGGGTCTGTGGAGAAGGGGGTAGGGGGGGGAGGGTGGGGTGGGGGCAGTGGGGGAGGGTGGGGTGGGGGCAGTGGGGGGAGGGTGGGGTGGGGGCAGTGGGGGAGGGTGGGGTGGGGACCCGTCCTCGTTTTGCTTATAATTTTCATGGGGGCCGTTAAATCAAATAATTTTTTTTTTCTTGACTGTGTTAAATTATTTTTAGTGTGATGCTAACTGTTTTGATTCATGATTATTTCCAAGTATTTCAAGAGTGTTGAGGGGAGAACTGTTTGATGATGGTGAACTTCAGCTTATCACAAAGTTTATGAGATTAGCAATACAAATAGCTGCAACAAGTGTAACTTCCCAAAAGGTAAAATTTCTTAACTTTATGTCTAGCTTGGTACATTAGAGGAAAAGGGTTATTCTACCTTTGAAAGAGACAAAGTACTTTCTCATGTTGTTGGCATTTTTTGTGATGCTGATAATTCTTTTGTTTATCTATCTTGTTTAATTTTAGTTTCCTATTGGTGCTGTGATTGTCGATCCACAGACAAACCACGCTATAGCCATTTCTCATGACCTCCGTTGCACAGGCCACCCACTCCAGCATGCTGTCATGGTCTGCATTGATTTAGTGGCTCATAGTCAGTTGTCAGGGGCTTGGCAACTTGACTGCGAAGCAGTGAATGGTACATGGACAATGAGTGAAAGAATTCTACAGCTCCAGGAACATTTAAATTTTTGTCACCACAATAAAAGTTCTATGGACTCCAAATCATCAGAAACAGGAGAGATATAAAACTTAATTTAAAGGAACCTTCTGATCTGGCAAAAAACAAGGACCAAATGTGCAAATCAACTCCTTATTTGTGCACTGGATATGACCTCTATGTTACAAGGGAACCTTGTGTTATGTAAGTATCAGTACATATTGTTAAGTGACACTTCAGGCACATTACTTCAGCCACACCCCACTTCCCTTAAGTGTGAGGCAGTTACCACTAAATTCAATGTTGGGTTAGGGGAGGGGAGGGGTAGGTGAGCACTTTCCCAGAATATTTTGTAGATCCAAAAATGTGATAACCAAAGGAAAAAATGTGTTACCTTTTATTTGTATGTGGATAAGATTGGGGCTTAAATTGGGTTAAAATATATAAGGCACATTCTCAAACAGAACCATCATAACTTAGTCATACTATGTTGACTTCTTGCAGGTGTGCAATGGCCTTAGTCCATTCAAGAATCAGGCGTGTGTTTTATGGATGTAGTGACAATGTGTTAGGTGCCTTGGGGAGTAGATATAAGATTCACACCCAGACTGGACTAAATCATCATTTTGAAGTGTTTTCTGGCCTTTTAGAGGAAGAATGCAGACGTTTTTTTGAACAATCATTTGCATATGACTTATGTTGATTTATTTTGACAATGGTAATGTCTAACTGCCCCATTTTTCTGTACACCGAAAATTATAGTGCAACACAACCACTGCAAAATAATACTTTTTATTTTAATTTTAATTTAGCCAGAAGGTACATCCCCAAAGTGGCCACATACCACCCACGAGGGTCGTGATTTAAGGAATCCATCAATTCATCAACGTCAACTTCAACTCAGGGTATTATATTTCAACTATTCTTCAGTCCTGTCACCTCAACCCAACTTTTCCCTGAATCCCATGATCCTGATTTTCATGTGATTGTTATTTTCAGTGTTGTGCTTCTTATTTTTTCTTTCAATCCTAAATCTTGCCCACATTTTACCTAAAAATTTTGATTCCCAGCCTTCAAATAAGGCAAATGACGCATCCCGAAAAACCTTTTGGAGACCATCACTTAAATACCTGAAGCTACCTGTCCAAAACTGCTCTTGTACTTTGTTCTACAGCTAGTTAAAGTATGGCTACAGGGACTGGTCATATGCAGGTTTAAGTGCTCGCAGATTCTTCATAGGTAAATACAAAATCAAACTAGAAAAAAAATAAATGTAGATAAAAAGTTTTTTTTACGGCAGTATTTTACGCTTCCTTGGTCTCAGTCCTATAAAATGGTATTTTTCTAGAAGACGTGCCTCTCATGGAAACGTGACTTCACGTGAGGTTGAAGCTGTGTCAAATTTTTAGAAACTAGAAGTTCATTTAGCTCGCTAAAGTGAGCTAAAATTATCAACTCTGGGATTAATTTTTTCTTCTCAAATCAGCAATCTTCAAGAAAGCCTGTGGCCAAGTCTTTTCTAACTTCAGTAGAGAATGAATTATTCATTGCCTGATTTTGGGACCGGACAAAAGATTTATTGAAAAATATTTGACAACTTGATGACGTCATGCATTCCAAGTCATCGCGGATCGGGGGCAGCAGTCGTCTAACATTATTACACGGTAAATTTACTGCTTTCAAATATATGAGTTCACAGATCTGCCTATTAATGTTCGAGGACAAAAATAACACGTTCTAAATTTCTTGAAGGAAATCAGCAAAGTAATTTTAGCATCCATTGTTTAGTTATTTCACTAAAAAAGCCAAAATAGAAATGGACAAGAATTACGTGTTAACATTGTTGGTTGCCATGATTGTGGCTTTAATGGATCCCGTGTGGATATTACGGGCAAATGCTGCTCCTATGGATAATGGAACTGCAAATGCAACGAGCACTGTTTTATCCGACAACGCAACAGCAAGCAATGGGAGTTTGTCGCTGGGAAATTTTTCTGCTCCCAACGTGACAGTTTCGTGCAATGAGACGGCTCTGAATTGCATATCGAAGGTGGAAATTAACAATGCTACCATTGAGGTGAATTTAACCGATGTTTGCTTAGCAAACGGAACAATCCAACTCATCATTTGTAACGGGACTACGTTAAATCTTACCAAACGCTGCGAGACATTAAAAGCGGGAAACTTGACGATTGTCTGTGTAAATGCGAGCGTTAATTCTTCAGCCGGTCTTGTGGTTTCCAATGCAACGCAATCTCCCGCCACATCCAATTTTACAACTGATTACACGAATGCGACAACTACCAGTGCGGCGAATAATGTTACAGCACCGTTTAACACGACTGGGGTATTAACTGCAACCCTAAATGCAACTTCCACGAATCAGTCTGCTACGGCTAATGGATCGTCGACTCAGAATCCGAACTCGACAAGCGTTTTAAACTCCACGATTTCCACCCTAACAGAACAAGGGAACGCTTCATTTGCAAACGCAACTCAAACAGCGATCACAAAATCATCTGCCAGTACTCCGAGCGCTGCACAAAGCAGCGAAACTCCTAGCACAACACAACAGTCCACGACAACCCAGATGTCAACGACGACAGTGAAATTAACAACAACGCCGCAGGATACAACTCCGAAATCGACAACAGAGAAATCTACAACGCCGAAATTGACAACCACAGAGAAATCTACAACCACCCCAACAACAGAGAAATCTTCAACGCCGAAAGCAACAACTTCGGAATCTACAACAAAGCAGACTTCTCAAACGCCGGAATCAACAACCAAAGAGTCGACAACCATCAGTACTACAGGTACTACAAAGGAATCGGTTGTTTCTCCAAGCATGAAAGAAACTACAAAAGAAAGTACAACCGAGACGACCACCAAAAGTACAACTGTTAAAACTGTGGAAACAACCACAACCCTAACAGAGCAGGAAAAATCATCACAACCCACAAATACACAGCACTCAAGTGAGTTGAAATTTATTGTTACTCCCAAGTTTGATAATGTGAAGAAAAGTAATGAGAGGAAAATAAAGAATAACCCATGGGAAAATGAGGAGGGGAAATATCAATATCCCAGTTTTCAAATGTCCCATGTCCAGAGGATTACATATTTAAAGATTATTGTGCCAAGGATAAAATCATCATTTATTGCCCAATGCAATATACATTTAAAGACCAAAAATGAGGGACAGCTAACAACTGCTTTAGCAGTGCATGAAGTTCCCACAAGTTTCCCTTTTGGTGCAAGGAATTCTTAGTCTTTTGCACATTACCTTTACACACTGAACACCCTTAAGATTCCGAGGGTGTCAGCCATTGGGCTCCTTATAATTTTTATTCGAGCACAAGCTTGCTATATCATTTACAACAATGAATGATATTATAGTGAAATATTTATAGCTCAGGGAACACAAATAACTCCCTGCTAATGCATTGGAAATGAAATATTAAGTAATATTAATTTTCTTTTGTTTTATCTTTTCAGTGCCATCACCCATGGACGACGAAAAGGTAATGTTAAGCTTTGTAAGAATCCTTTCTTCAAATATGAAAAACCTTAAGACAGAAGACTGAAAAGTCTATATTGGCTCCAGTATAGGTTTATAGGATATTATTTTGATGTCTCATGCAACTGATGTTTCACTACCTAGAATGCAGACATAGATCGAAAGCTGACTGTTTGGTTTACGAGCTTAGCAGAATTGTGTAGAGTTGTACAGGGTACATATTTATTATTGTTTCATGTAAAATGCTTGATGTTGGTTTTTTATGCTGTCACTACATGATATTATTAGATGTTGCGTCCACTGACTATAGAGCATTAAGGCATTCAAATATCATAATACATGAAGCTAAGGCAATGTTAAAAAAAAGACTTTTATCATTTTGGGGAAAAGCCTACTTGGCTGCTGTAAGCTACTAGTACTGATGAAAAAAAAACATCCTTTCAGCTTCCATGCACCTGTTTCTCCATTCACACGGCAAAAATCCACTAAACAGCTGGAAGTAATATCAACAATAACAGACACTGCACATTAACATACATATACTTCATTCATCGGGGGGAGGGGTGTTGCAAGGAATAGTGGCCTCCAAATCTACTGTTTGTACTCCCCAAATTCCACATCCCTGGCAGTTTATGCAACCCAATATCCTCAAAGCCAGCTGCATTTTTGTCTAAAAAATAAAATGATATCCCAATTCGAGCCACGAACAGTAGAGGGGAAGATTTAATCAGTTTTAAAAAGTATCAGTAACAGTGTATGGGTAATTGCTCAGTGCCCCACACTCCTCCACTCTCTCTGAGAGTGAGGTCAGGTTACCCATACGAATGGTTTGTTGTTAACTAATTTAATCTACTCAACAGACTGTGCGATTTTTCTATGTGAACGTGCTTATTCCTGTTGGAGCTGGTGCCTGTACTGCCCTGGCCATTGCATTTTTGGTTGTCCTGTGCAGATGCTGTCGCAGAAGAAAATTAAAGAAAGTCCGCTATTTTGGAAAGGTCAGGATTTATCACTAGTGGCACTCTATAATCAGCTTATCTTGGAAAGGTTGTCATACAAAAGAGTAAAAGAGTGTACAAAATTGGCAAAACAGCCGGCAAAACATAGTCCATCAAGCCTTAATGCTGATAATTTGGTTTTTATTGCACTGAAATGTTCAGTTGAGCAACAGTGGACTAGCCACTAACGACAACATGTTTTTGCACTCTCTGGTACTCTTTTGTGCCTTCTCCAGACAATATTGAGCTTACGCAACAGGATGGGAGAAGAAAGAAGATGGCAAACTTTGTGTGACAAGTGTGACAATAATTTTGTTTGAAAAACTTTTCCGCTGAACTTCACCTTCCTTTAAACAGGTCATTTTGTAAAAGACCAGAAAACATAAACTTGAGTGAAGATCACCACAAAACAGTAATAGGTCTGTCACGTTTGTCACACACGAGCATTTTGCTGTCCTCTTCTTTCTGCAGTCCTGTTGTGTAAAAACACTAATCTCTCAGACTCTGATTATCTTTATGTCATAACTAACATGATGTACCTCGGGTGTGGAACAGAGACATATTTAGAGAGGGAAACACTTGACAATTATTACAAACAGAACTGATAAACTTAATTGTCCTCAACAGCAGCACAGACTGTTAGTTACATGTACACAGACAGACTATTGGTCTCAGACAGATAAATCAGTTAAATAAACAAATAGTTATACATGTACAATCAGACTACTCTTCTTCCAAATTGAACACTGCCCCTTTAAACATTAAGATATTATCTCTCTTAGAAAGGATTATCTGACAGATAACTAGTCTGAGATGGATAATTATTTGTGTTCCCAGTCATCAGAAATTATCAGATTGACCCAATCTAAATATGATATTCGATTATTGTGGGAAAAATCTCTTTATAACAAGAATTCCATCATTTATATCATTTTCACCCATGTGCTTGTTAAAATAAAAGGAGGCCGCACCTGTGTGTGCCCTATGTTGCTTGTCAGAACTTCCCAAATTACTCTGGGAAGGCCTCTTGCAGTGATTTTTTAGAAATAGTTGTGGTGAGTCCTGGGACTCATCTTGTGAAAAATTGTAAGTCCCACTCCTGAACCATTGATTCTCAGTTCAAAAAATGAGTTGTAAATTGAGAAAGCTTGGTTCTTTATGTAACCAGGAAGTCACTGGATCTGAAGATAGTTCACTGTTCAAAATTAAAGTATAGTCCTTCTATTTAAACAACAAAAATAAGGGGGCTAAAATAAATCATGCATTGTTAAAACAGCCACAGAAATCACACAAACAGGATTTTGTACAAAAACGTCTTCAGATTGATCGATCTTTGCATCCTTCGGGACGCATCCATTATATTATCTGGCGTCTTTGGTAATTTTCATGCATCAGGGACGCAGCACACAGAGGTAACAAAATCACTGCTTTTAGATGTTGATCAATACTGTCAGTTTTAAATTCTTTCTTTATATTTTTATTTTTTTAGGCTTCTGGAGAGTTGGACATGGATAAGTTGAATCTGTTATCACATTCCAGTGATGAAGAATAATGTATTTCTATTCGAATGCAAGGACTTAAAACAGTTTTTTCATTATTACAGCTCTCCTTTTCTGGATAACAAAGATTATTATGGTGCTCTTAGAGACCCAAGCACCACAATTAATGTGTGGCCGACTTAAAAACCATTCATATGGCAATTCATCAATGGTCCTTTCACATGGTACTATTTAATTTGCTGTAAAAAGAAGTTCGTCTTTTGAGTATGAAAAGATATACTTCCTTGGAATACTTTAACTGTCTTTGTCTAGCTACAACTGGGTGTAAGATGTCCAATCAGCTTGCCAAGGCAAGGATTATTGTACAGACTGTTACAATCATGAAGAGACAATTGGGATGTTTTGACTGGCCTTTTGACTGGTGTTTGTGGTCTTTCATTATTGCCCTAGCTCACAGGCAAATATTTGTAATAAATATGATAAATTTGGCAATCTATTTTTAACATTCTTTTATTGTATTTTAAAGAAATAACGTATTACATTGAAATTTTGTAAGGAGGTCATTGAACAATTTCGTGATAACTTCTAAATAATAATTATGAGGTGCAGTTTTCCAAGGCTTTTGACAAAATTTGTTGCAAACTACAAGTCTAAAGTTGCCCTTGTAGTGGAAATTACCCCTTTCTTTCTTGGAGAGAGTTTAAACTACTAATGATAATAATTATCAAAAATAATACAGTAGGACTAAGGGTGTGTCTTACTGAGATCGGAAAAGATAAGTTTTTTGTATCTGCTGGCTAACAGTACATAAAGTAAGAAAACACATTAAAAATCCAGCCCTGTTCTAATTTTAATTTATAAGTTTATTGACATTTTTGCCTTCTCAATAAATAAAATTTTTAAAGCTTCTGTGAAACTCAGAAAATCGTGAACACCAGAAATACAATTAGACCTCCATTAAGAGTGCCTGTGTAGTGCAATGCAGAACTTCCTAAGAAGAAAACCCTCCAGAGAGGCAAATTTAAGCAGCCATGCACCTATAGAGAGTGACCCTCTATTGAGCGACCAGTAACCAAAGCTCTGTAGAAAAGAATATGCAAATTAAACCTCTATTAAGCAGCCAGCCCTATCAAGTGGCCATGGTCACCTTTTGGCCATCACGGCAAGAGTTCTATTGTTGTAGGTCACCTCTATTAATCAGCCATCAAGCACTTGATACACTTAATTTAGCTTTAGTTTAAAAAGAAGATTAACAAAAATACAGTGTGAGATAGATAAGAAGCTGACAACTGGGGTTAATTTAATAAAAATTTTACACACGTAATTACAAGTGTAGCCATTGTTTTAGAGTCTGAGAACAATAGCTACACTTGTAAATTACCTGTGTAAAAGTTTTATTAATTTGACCTGATTGTGGACCAGTTATGCCACTCCCAGTGCATGTTTGTTTCTAAATCAGATTAAAGTGATGTTTGAGTTAAAGATTATGCTAATAATGAGAAACGTCTATCGCGCGGGCAACCGCCTTTAAGCAGCCACTTGCCGGTGTACCCCGAGACTGGCCACTCAATGGAGGTTCAAATGTTTTACTGGAATGTTACCGTTTTATAGTGATAAATGTAAACACGTACATGAGAAAACTAAACTGCATGTGGCAGTGCTAATTAGTTCGTGGTTTCGCGGTCTCCCCTTTCCCGAGACATTCAGATGTTGACGGTTTTCTGAGTTTGACAAGAAAATGACAACAGTTGTTGTGGTAGACATAGAATATATTACAGGGCTTTAAATTCGAGGATGAGAACGTATTCTAAAAAAAAGATACCCCGGAAAGCTTGATTGTACTTTTGACCCACCAGAAAAGTTAGCACTGTCATCTTTATTGAAGGAGGTTAACCTCTCCCGATCTAAAAACTGGATAAAACTTCTAACGTTTGGTAACTCGTTTCCGCCACTTCTGCATTCTCGCTAAAACTGGTAGACGACGGCTATCACATTTTCCCGCCCAAGCAATACTCATTATTGAGAAAATCTCGTTCTTGTGGTCGTTCGCGTCTTAGAATCTAAAGGTCTCTATTTAAAGCTTATGTCCATACCATAACTTTATTGCTTTACCTTTGTGTCATTATATTTATCTCAATCTTATTACAGTACTTCTTAGCTTGTTTGTGGCTCAAATAGATCAGAAAGTCCTGTAAGATCCTCCGTTGGCTCCGGTTTGGTGCAGTTGATTTTTATTGGGGGAAGGTCTTTGATCTTGATCTCATTTTGGAACAATTCTGCAACATTTTTCTACAAGTCAAACAAGCACCATTAACAATCAGCTACAAACTTCAAAGGAGGAAACATATTTGGCAGGAATGATAACTTTCATAAACCACAAATTTTAATCACCTTTGAAGTTACAGTCAGGGCAGGTCAAGCGTACCCCCAAAGACTGCATTAATGAATTTAATATTCAGAGGTTGAGTCCGTTGGTAGTTGTAGATTTCAGTTTCGTCTCTGCACTTCTGCATACGTAACGAACAGTGAATTCACACGCGAGGTCGAAATGAAATTTCTGCCTGCTCAGTTTTCTTAAATTTGGTGCAAATGTCTTCAAAACAATTTTATCCATTTTTCAATCTGACCGGATACAGAGGAATTATCGTGAAAAAATTCACTGCTCATTACGCATGCAGGAATACAGATTTGAATTAGAGACTGGTAACGGATTCATTTTTCAAATAGTCGATTCATTAATGCAATTTTGGGAAGTGGGGGGGGGGGGGGGGGTTACGCTTGACTTGCCTCGTTTGTAAGACCTGGCGTAAGGATTAACTTTAAACCTTTAAGCCTCAACATCCTCTTAAAAATTCTCCAAACTAATCTCAATACATTAAAGAATACTGTAAGTTGAGGGAATTTAATGAACGATCAAAGAATTTCGACGCTGGTGATCTTTTCCTTGATTCTCACAACCTTTTCTATTGATGACGTACTGTTGTTGTTGAGAGAAAATTGCTGTTGATCACCCTTGGGACATAAAGGTTAAATCGCCATGGCTACCCTGATGAGAAAAAATTCTATCTTATCGGCTAATTACCATAAAATTCGACTTGATTTCATAGTAGGCATCTGTTGAATTTTGATTTATAACAAAACAGTGATGGATAACAGTACTGTATAAATACAAACTCTGTCACTATTGATGTTGCCTTTGGAAATGCCCGCCTAAGGAGAATCAAAGTTAATTTTCGTTTGACAGAGAGGCAAAGGATGTAATGACAAATTCAACTGAAGTATCATCCTCACCCCTACGATTCCAGAAACAAGTTTCTTGAACTGATCTCTTTTTCTTTTCTCTGGAACATCGTTTCCTTCAAAACACATGGCCTCAAAAGCCTAAAAACAACAAGATAATTAGTCTGTCAGTCTGGCATACGGTGCCACAACCCCACCCTCCTCCAAACAGAAGAATTTTACCACCTCTAACTAAAAAGGAAACAAATTCTTTAACATGGCCTCTGACCTGTTACCAGTCCAGTTCTGGCTCCTCTCTCTCTGTGTCACGCAATGCGTTGCTTGATGTGTTGCGTGACAGAGATGGGGGCCAGGGGCCCGTTTCTCGAAAGTCCCGGTAACTTTACGGGCCCGAAATCAAATATTCAAATAGAAATAAAAAGAATAAGAGCGCGGGTCCTGACTAGCAAACTACTCCATTTTGTTTCATTAACTGACAGTTTTATCGTGTTAGATGCAAAACTATTGAAACCTCGGTCTTTAATGTAAACGGAGACAGCCTACCGGGCCCGTTAATTATCGGGACTTTCGAGAAACGGGCCCCAGAACTGGACTAACCTGCTAACAGTTATCTCTGACAAAAAAGGTTAAGATAAATAGTGACTCTTGGATGAACATACATGCAAATCCTCCAAGGAGCAGTTAGTTTGAAGAAGAACTTGCTGCAGTGATGAGTATTCAGGTCTCTGAAATTAAAAAGTTTACTTAGTGCAACAAAGAATGACCATGGACTGGTGAGGATCTGACGTGTTTCCCCTTTGAGCCCCCATGTCCACATACAGATTCTCCCATGTGATCCCCATCATTTCCTTGAAAGATTAGTTAAGAGAATTTGATAAAAGATCAAAGCATGTCCTCCTTGGTGATCATATTATAAATTCTCTTAACCTATACTCTTGATGATGTATGAAAAATATTAGGAGAAAACTGATGTTGGCCACTATTGGGACTTAAATGGGTTACTAAGGAAAGCACTAGACTGTACTATATAAATTTAGCTAAGCCGACAAGTGGAGCTCCCATTTAACACAAACAATTCACTTGAAAAAAATTACTACAAAATTAAACACAAACAATACCAAGGTAACTAAATATGTCAGACAAAAAAACTTGAGACCGTTTTCCAAACAAAAATTATTATCTGTTCAGTAGACATCTTAAAAATGTGACCTCAATAGGTGGTTTATCTGCACCCGCAATACGACCACGTGACTCTAGCCAGCGGATGCCCCGTTCAGACATATCTACAGATCTTGGCATGAATGCCATACATCATTCTATCGGAAAGCCATACATTGGTTGGCATGTGGCATGGACAGGTGGTCACGTGAAACAAGATTCTAGATTTTCTTACCAGAAGTTCGTACATTGTCTGTCCAGCGTAAGTCAGGTACGTTTCAGTAAAGCAGTGACCTTGAACGTGAAGACCCTGCAATGGGAGATGCAAAATGTGCTATTAATTTTACTACTCACCAGACTATGTATCATTCGATTGGAATTTAAAAAAGACAGACCATATGTCCACCACAACTACCACTAATTGGAAAACTAAGGACGCTTTCTTCAACTTTAACCTGATTGTCACGTTCGTCTTTGGTTAGTTCAAAATACGGGAAATAATAGGAAATAGCAGTTGATGTTTATAGCGTTTGCGAAATGAAAAGGCCACCGTAGTTAACATAATAGGTAGGGTATAGGAAATCAGAGGGCTTGAGTCTATTATAGGGTATCATTTTCCAAGAAACAATCTACACCAGGGAAAGCGGGAAAAGAGCAACTCTAGCATAGGGAGGATATTGTGAGTTTAATCTGGTGTAAGATGGCAAATCACCTGAACTAAGTCTTGCATAGGGTAAGGGTTCAAGTATCCCAGCGGCATATCCCCAACCAAATATTCCTTAAGTATCCCGGGGGTTAAAATAACAGGTCCTAGGTTCACTACCTTTTCACCACCTTCAACTGTTTCGTTCAACTACTATGGAGGCACAGCAATGTCAATGATGGCAATTTGTTGTTAGAGGTTAAGTTAAAATGGCACCCACCTTCAAGACTTGAGTGAACAACTGTTCAACGACAGAGTCCGCTAACCTAGTTCCAGCTTCTTTGCATATGACAACAACCTTGAGAGGCAAAATAAAGAGGATGTCAGTTGACGTTGTGACATGACAACAACCTTGAGAGGCAAAATAAAGAGAATGTCAGTTGACTATGTGATACAACATAACTCACTTAGGACTTTTGTGAAATGTAACAAGATCAGTAACTCCATTACAATAACCACAGGGACATGTAACAACACCCAAATGGCCATTAAGGTATTTACTCGATTAAAGTGTTTCCGATGCAGCGTTAATTCAAGAACGGCGTTTATTTCAAAATCGTATTATTCATTTTCTTTAATCCTGACTGAAAACAATGACAGTGAATCATTTGTAAATATTATCTAAAATAGAAAGATGCTTAAAGTCCAATGTCTTGCTTTTCTTTTTGCTGAGTTGTGCTGAGTTTATTCGAGAACGGCATTTATTGGTAATGTTATCTACATTTGCGACTTTCAATTGAGTAGATACGAGACGACACAACGACGACGATGAAACGAAAAAACACTATATGTGGGTTGAGTTTGTTATTGGTTCTCCTCATCTAGTCGATGCGAAATTGTTGACAATCTCGTTATTTATCGACTGATTGATTCATTTTTTAGATAATGTAATACTCACTTCTTTGATAAAGGCAGTAGCAAGACGTGTGGCCTTATAGCAGACAGTTGAATCAGGCCAGGTCATACTTTGAAAAACAGTACACAGTGCTTGCATGTTCACACTCTGAAATGTTAGGATTTGTGTAGCTTAGTCATCAAAATAGGGAAAAATACAAGTGGTGGGGGTGAAAACCACTTCACCTTTTGGGAGCAGACTGTTAGGATGAAAGGTACTTTGATTAAGCAGAGAATTCCAGGTAACTAAACACATTGTCATCTTTTATTTGTGATTAGGAACTAATGTCTTTTCTGTATTGACCATCTTAGTAGTTTATTCGACATTTCCAAAATTGACTTACGGGGGAAAAGAAAGGATCAGTTACTTTATACTACCTCAGTTCTCAAAAGCAACCTTCCCATTGATCCTAACTTGGCATTGTTAGCATCTAATCCTACGAAAAGGGAATTGCGCATAACGTTAATTGCACATAACGTTTTGTATACATCAAGTTGGGGTATATCAGAGCAGTCTGTAGTGAGTGTCAACAAACTGTTTAGACATCCAGTCAAGATAAACAATGCTACGAATCAGAGCATTTTCCTTTTCTTTACTAACTGTCATGTACCAAATAAGAAAGAAGAAATACAGCACAGCACACAACAAATCACCACAGAGACAGTGATCCTAAAATCATTAGTCTAATGAAGTTACCTTTAAGTTCGTCCTCTTCTGCGACTACCATTCCCGTCGACGCATCGCTCTCTTTGTTTAAAACACACGCTAAAGCTGAAATGATTCAGAAACCTTTAGCAGTCCTTCGACATGACTTGTACAATTAGTTTAATTTGCATCAGCCTCCATGCAAGAGAGGATTCCATCAAATGCTGAAACGCAGCTGGGGTGCTAGAAAGACCAAATGGCAGAACAATTTCTGCACCCGCCTTAAGTGATTGTTACACGTAGATAACCTTGTCCCAGAGGTATCTTTTCCAAAGTTAGCAAAACGTAAGATTTGTAATGTGACAAAGAAGGTAAAAGGACTCAAAAAGCTGTTAGAAGTAACGCAAAAACGCAGCAGAACAACATCAATACTAAAGTAAAAATATGGGCGATCACACCGAATGAGAAACAAATACAACAGTTGAATATCTGCCAGTGCAAGGCAATTGGATAGACCAAGCAAAATGAGGTACTCACTGAAAACATCCAAGTAATCCTTGCTGATGATCGACACCAACTGGTCCTCAATGATCTCTTTGGATTCCATGTTGTCTTCTTCCTCATCCATTTCAGTTGTGCTGTGGATTTAACGACAGCTTTCACTTTAAAAAAAAGCCGATTTTCCTTACCGATACCGGGCCGCATTTTTTAGCAGTTGAACACAACTGAAATTCATTTCCTTTGTCTGTTTTTTCACTTCTGCTGTACATCACTCGAAACCATCGCAAAGCTGACTTTAGAGTCAAATGGTGTTAACTTCAATGTAGATGTATACCATTTTATTTATCTCAGAAATTTTCAAAAAAAAAGCCCTCTGTGCACCCAACTATTACGGACTCTTTCTAATAAGGACCTTAATTTTCAGTCCGAAGGATGCCTGCAATAACGATAGTTTCCTGTACAGTACAATTCTACTTGCAATTCCCAATTTTGCTTTAAATATCACATATTTTCATTGCTAACCTGTCGGCTTGGTGCTGTCTGACAATCTCCCACTGTTCTTCAAGATGCTAAAACAGCAGACACACAATTAAGATAAATAATTCAATAAAAAGATTATCCTTTTGAGTTTTTTTTTACGGATTGTCTTAGAATAATAAAGCGAAAAACCAGCCTGATATACATCAATAAAAGGTACCTGATCCATCCAGGTGAAGAAAAGTGAAAGTACAGGAACAACCACGTTCATTTGGTGATACACAGGGCAGTGCAAGATAAACAACTTCATAAAATTACCTGATATGTGGTGTCAAGGAATACATTCAGGGACTGTGAGAAAGTAATATCATAATAATATCGCTGAATTTCTTCCTATCTTTCCACTTTGAGATCTCTACCTTTGCTTGCCCATCCTCCTTCTTTTATCTTTTTTTCCTTTACATTGTTCCGATTCACAAAACATCTGACCCGGAATCCCAGCCACCTCTGTCCTATCCCCGACCCTTCTAGTCTTCCGGCCTCCACCTTCTCTTAAAAACGCCAGTCTCCAGGTCTCTCCTGGTTCCCACTTCTAGTTTCCTCGTTTCCTATCCCTAACTAAGTGGCTCTCACCCAATCCTTTCCCTGACTCTCAGTCACCTCATATTTCATAGTGTTCAAAAATCTGGCTCCTAATTCCTTTCCTTCAGCTTCCTAAGTCCTATTAGGGAGCTTAACGATGACGGCAACGACAACGGCAAAAAAGCAATAGGTTTAGATTAACAGAACCACAACTTTGCACGTGCATCACGCTTTTTTTGTACACTTCTCAGCCGTCATTGCACGACTACAACGTGAAAGTGCCTAATTTCACGTTTTGTCGAGGACGAGAACACACGACGACAACTTTCTTTTTCTTTTCCTGAACCTTGATACGGTATTTTAGAATTCAAGTCCAAAAACATTTGACAACATTTGACGAATTGAACGAGATGGACAAAGCGTGACTAAGTTTGAGGCAGAGCGAATTCACTTTTTAAGTGACGTTTTCGTAGCCGTCGCCGATGGCGTTGCTTAAGCTACCTATTGTCCTTGTTCCCACTTCCTTTCCTTCTGGTTCATCCGACCTGGCGACCCTCTACTGTGTAATGATGCGACACAGAAGAAAATAATAACTCTCATAAGTTTATTCAAAGGATACGTACAACAAACCTCAGTCTGTAGTTGGGAACATATGTTAAAGACTTCACAACATTCTCTACAATGAGTTCTGGTAGGCCAGGAATGCTGTAAAAATCATGGGTAAGACAGGCTCCAGCATATCCCAGAGCATGGTAGCTAAAATATCAAAAAAGAGAGAAGATGGAAAAATATAACGAGATAGAATGAGAAGTGGACAAAATAAATGTAAAGAGGTAGGTGGAAGATGGGTTGAAGCGACATTCAATGTTGATATCCGATTTTCTTTAAGAAAACCTCTATTTAAGGGATTCCTTACGTAGCATAAGTAACAAACTAGTCCCAAAGCTTTTGAAAATAACTGGAGTAAAAATTTGGCTTTTTCGATTTGCCTTTTATTCGCTATTCAACTGAAGAGAAACACAACTTTCCATCACTGCGCTAAATTATAACCTAGTAAAACCAGAGAATCACATGATCCTTGAGCTACCTGCTTAAAATGTTTAAGCCCAGCAATCAGCTATTTTTAATTCAAAGCTTGCTCCTCCCGAAATGATCAAGAATGATAGAATTTTCACGGTAAGCTGGCTCTGTTGTAAAATAGAACTCATTTGATACGATTGAGATTTTAAGCCAAATTTTTGACTTCCACTTTTCTTTGAACATGCCCTCTAACCATTTCGACGTATGCTCCTGCTCTTTTTAAGCGATATTTAACGTCAATAGAGCAACGAGTTTTCACTTAACACTGCTGCTCAAAATGCATGAGTTCATTTTTTTTTACGTCCAGCCTTCAAAGGTACCCCTACTTCTGGAACGAAAAATTGCGTTTCTGTCCTACTGTTGGCACTATGCAATTCCAAATAACATCGAGTCAAAAAAGGGTAGCCTGTGTCAAAGACAAAACTAAACTTCTGGTTAAGTCGGTCTGCGAAACGGCACCGAATCCTTGTTTTGGACCCACCTGTGTACCAGGATTTGAATACGTGCCATGATAGGCCTGTTATAAGTGGTACTGTCGATTTGCCAATCAAGTTGAAGGGGAAATTCGAAACGCATTTCCAGTAATTCGTCGAGTCCTTTAAAGGACCCAGAACAAGAAAATCGGCGTTGCTTCGCTGGCGTTACTAACCAGGGTTACATTACCTCTGCGACGCTGGCCAATAGAAAGGCTTATCGTAGTAAAATAAAAGAAACTTTCGAAGGAAATCAATCACTTTCTTAAAGTCAACAGAAGCTTTCTTTGTATGATTCAATAAGCATTTAATTTAAATCAATTACCTTTAGACACTCGCACATTAATAACTGAGCCTTATTTCTATCAAAACATCTCCGTTAAGTGCGTGCTTGAGAATTACAATTTAACGTTTTTAGTACGAACCATGAATCTGCTAAGTAATAAAGGTAGGCTTTTGTGGCATGAATCGGTTTAAAAACGGTTGGAACTCCACTTCTATCTTTGTCTTGACCATGCGAAAGAACTGAAAAAAAAAAATTAAGAATGTGGTGGGTAGGTTAGTGCCGCTAATATAAAAGGACATTTTCACCCTTAAAGAGCGTTTTCACATGACGTCACGGCGGCCACGTTGGTTAACTTGTGGGAGTTACTATCATTTTTATTTTTTTTTTGTCAATAGTCACAGCCAAATTTTACATAATGTGACGGCGCTGCTATAATTATGTCAGCCCACAAATGACTTGCTCACCATCCAGTTCTCAGTAGCTCAGTGGTTAAAGCATCACACTAGTGTACGGAGTATCATGGTTTCAATTCCCATTTGCGACTCAGAGGTTTTCCTGAGTTCATCTCTTATATCACATTATTCCATTTATTACAAATAAGACTCTGTATGGGTATTTCCGAAGAAATCGAAGTCGCCACGATCGCTATTGATCAAACGAAGATCTTAGCGATTAAAGAGACGTTTGCATTGACAATTTTTGATCACGTTTGACAACATACGTCGTACGATGGCGGGCAAAGAAATCTACCAAAAATTGTGCTGCACGTTCTTCTTATTTAACCTGTTGCTTTCAAGTTTTTGTTTCCGTCGTTGTCATCGTGGTTGTTCTAGCTCACTAGTAGCGTTAACGCGTAAAACAATTCTTGATATGCGACCATTTTACGGAAAACGAGCGATGAAAACGACGTCCTTAGTTACCCATAGAGAGGCTCAAAACTGTTATCTCACTAGCAAAGTATTCCTCACCATAAATAGCACTAGTGTCAAGGTCGTGCATGTCTAGTGCAGCCAGGTAGTCTCCCTTCATACTTCTTTTTATCGCAGGATCATACAGGCTATTGAAACACCTACATTAGAATAACCTAAATTAATACTACGGTCAGCTATCTCTGAGGGGTAACAGCCATATGTCCGTCTTAGAAAGGACTCTGCTTGACGAATAGTAAAACAAATGACTGAAGAATGACACGGTTTCAGAAGGGAGTCCACTACACTGTTAAGGTCTGTAGAACATTACGTAACCAAGGTTTAAAAGGGCTGCTGGGGATAAAATACTTCAGTGTAGCGTACAATGTCTCATGCTATGTTTCCCTTTTAAAAAAACTCTTGTTAGTGACTCATGTTTGATCTTGCGGAGCTGTTGTCGCTCAACTAGATTCCAAAAAGCAACACGAACACGACTCTGAATAGACGATTCCCTTCTTTTTGAGGACACGTATCACACACACCATAGGCTGTGGCTCCTGATAAAACCACTTGTTGTAAAGAACATACATAACGACTCTGCCTTAGCCGACAGCCACAAAAGTGGAATTACTTGCTATAAAGACAAACCACTTACTTTGCTAGCAGCATAAGATTGCCGAGTAATGGCACAACATACGGTGCACAGGGATTGTGCACATAAGGAGTCCCATTAGGCATCGACCCAATGGACAGCCCCTCTCTGGTCGCCGTCTGCACAGAAACAAGTTATAACCAGTTTACAACAGACCATTAGCATTGCAAGTGTTAGGATGGTGACCGGTCGTTTGGCCCACGATTCGTTTCGCTAACGTCTTATGTCGTTCCGCTAAGAAGCGAAACGAGCGCTGCGCAAGTATATGCTTCGTTCTCTCAGCCAGGCTACAAAGTAGTGCGATACGCAAGTGTATACCTCGTTCTTTCAGCCACTGATCAGGTGAAAGCAGTTAGGGAACTGACCCACACGTACGCGAAACGACTCGTAGGCGAAACGACCGTAAACCGTTAGGAAGGTATTCATTTTTAAATTAAGCATGAGAAAAATGCCACTTATAATTCCAGTGCGTAAACCGTAAAACACGGAGAATGCTAACGCAAAAAATGTTAATGCGACAGAAAAATCTATTGAATATTTCAATTGCCTTTTCTCTACTTTTAAGCTCAAACAAAGGCGGTTTCGAGATTATTAGGAGCTCTTTTACTATCCAGCTGTATTGTAGGACTTTCTAATGGAAGCAAAATAAATACAGGGAAAATATACGAGGAGTGTATTTATTTTATCTCCCTAGAAATAAACAATCTGTCGTGAGCTATTTTCGAGTTGATAAAGCAAAACAATGTATGTAAATGCAAACCTCAAAGGTGATTAAAGAACAACTGCGGACAACCGCCATTATGGTGGTGACACAAAACATAACCTGAAAACGAAAACAGAAGATTGGGGAATCAAAAGTTAAGTGGCAAGTGGCAGATGTCACGACAACAAAATTACAAACCTAGGAATTCAGTTTTAGTTTACTAAGATGTCGCTTTGCAGAGAAATTAAACTAAATGGTGCAGATGCCAGCAAAACATTCCCTTCAGCCAAATCCTCAGACTGATAATGATCAATTCACTGAAATTAAGATCTGACATCTGAAAAACATGCTATTGGCCATAAAACTACGATTTTTTTACACTACTTGAGGTAACGTTATTATGTTGTGGTCTTTTACATCGCTACATCATTACTCACATCAAATCTTCTCTTCTTCAACTCTTCTGAAAAGACAGAATATTGACGATTAATCTTGTCAGCATTCGCCCATTTACGAGTACATTGAGCTAATTTTCTTCAGAAAGTTAACCAACATCAAACATAACATTACTAAGTAAACTTCAAGTTATTATAAGAACTGCCGACAAAGCTGAATGTCCTCTGATAACTTGGTTTACCGGAAAATTTTAACGTATTCTTTAAGTTAAAAGAAAACCTCTCAGTACCATTCTGGTTTAACAAGGCGGGGTCCTGGTCCAGTCCAATAAATGACACAAAGGTGGCTGGAGATGAGATAGCCCTGTCCATGAAAAGAATAATACAGTGTCGATATCAATTTTCTCCAAACAATAATCATACGTCATTCAGAGAAAAGGTTGTGAGAATTGACATAATGATCACCGAAGGGAAAATCCTTTGATCTTTAATCAAATTCTCCCAAAAAAGTCTTTAACGAAATGTATGGAGATCAGTCTGGAGAATCAGTATGTGGATACTGGGACTTAGAATAACAAGGTAGTCTAACTATACTTACTCACTAAAAAGAATATGAATAAAAACCGTCCTTTATCTAGACTGATGTATTAGTAACTACGTTGGAGTATGCGATGCTTATAGAGGTGAAGATGCTAACTACAGAGAAGACTTTTACGGAGTATGCGAGAATGACAAAATAAAAACAACATAAGCATTTAAGTAACATGCGTTCATGATCTTGTACCGTTAAAATGTTACTTTGCCACCTATTCACAGGGCAAAAATTGCCATTTTTACCTGAGTTTTTAATTTAGATCTTTTATAAGTGAGACAAGGTAGCAGGGTTAAATTCCTTGATCTACTGGTTTCACTCTGAAGAGAATCCCAACGGAAAAACCGAAAAATCGTTACATTTAGCATGTCCAATATTTCACGACGAGCAGCATCATGCCAAAGTACTCATAAATAGCGATTTTAATGATCACACTCTGTAGAATTTAACCCACACTCTCCAAACTTAGGACTACGTCCATTCTTCTAGAATCAACTCTTGGCTACAGAGGTTGAACCTTACAAACTTACCGTTGGATTCTTTCACTCATCCAGATTTCCCTTACTGGAGCCATCAGCTCACTAAGAAATGCATCTTGTTTCTCTTTACCCAGATGATTGCTATTCAAAAAATGGGACAGTAGGGAACAAACAACAAATTAGTTCCCAAATCGTGCCTATGTCCACTGGGTGAAAGCTGCAAAGTAAGTGGGTGACTCAAAACAATGGGTGATAATGGTGGTACAATGCTGAGACCACTCGCGTCCCACCAGTGTGGCTTGGGTTTGAATCTCGGCGCTGACTCCATATGTGGGTTGAGTTTGTTTGTTGGTTCTCTCCCTTGCTCCGAGAGATTTCTCTTCGGGTACCCCGGTTTCCCCTCTGCTTTAAAACCAACAAGTCCAGATTCCAATTCGATCTGGACACATTTCCGCGAGTTCTTAAGAACTCCTAAGTGCTCCAAATTAGTTTAACAATTACAAATTAATTACAATTACAATTAAAAATGGAACCACCAATCTGGGGAAATGAAAACAAGTTTATCTTACCTGGCAATCACTAATGCTTCTGTTAAGGTGCTTGCTTCCTTGACAGCTACTAGTTCTTCCTCAAATAAAGCATGTACATGTTGTTTCAGAGCACCAAAAACAGGCTGAAAACCAAGAAAAGGTGTATGGAATAAATCCTTAAAATTCGTGCTTGGCCTTGTTCCTAAACTGCCAGCAGTGTTATTTTTTATTGTGTTTTCATCTCCGATTCAAATACAACGGGGAGGAAGACTTTGCTATCAGGGACGCTAATTTCTCTACAACAAAACCACAAAGCGCTGGACTGTGCGTTGGAGGCGATTGTGGCCCTTATAAATGACTTACTTCCGTAAGTTCAAAGCTTTTGGACTTTCTACATTTTTTAAAAAAAATTGCACACACTTCCGGTAATTGAGAGACACAAATAATTCAATATAAATATACTGGAGAAAAAATACTCAAGCAATAGGAGAAAATGAAACGAAACAAGCACGGGTAAGAAACGAGAAAGAGTTATGTAGGGAGCAAAGAAACGGGCAACCTATCATCATATATGATACCACAGGAAAATGGTCAGGTCCCTTACTCCATGATGAAAAACGCCTACCACAAGCAATCCTCCAAATTCTTTGCAAAGTTTCACCACTGCACTACATGCATGGCGGCGAGCATGAAGAACATCAAGACTCCAAGGACCCTAAAGAGAAAAAAGGAAGATGACTCGTAAAATTATAAATATACAGCAGTCACATGCTATCAACGTCAGTTATAAACAGATTGAGGACTTAAGAATCGTCCATATAAAAAAGGTGATAATCAGATTACCATTGGGTTTGGAAATACATCGAATGCAGAAAAACAATCTTTTCAATTCGGATTTCAGTACACCCATGTCTCTCTGCACATCACACATCAACCAATCATCACTTCACCAAACAGCACTTGTGTAATTAACAGAATCAAAAAGAGAGAAAAAGGGACCCACAAAAGGAAAATGTAGTGATAAAGGAAAAATGGCAAATTATGACTTTCATCTGACTAATACCTTAGGGTTTCCAGTTGTGTTAAACAAAACTACTGTAAACACCTGAAAAAAAAAAGACATACACAAAATTAATACCAATGAGGCCTATGCTTTTATAATCTTCCCTTGAGGGCTCTGTTAAGTCTTATCCATGCTATCCAGTTGGACCCTCCGAACGTTATTTAGCTCAGTGAAGTTTCAACTTTACGTCTTTCACCAGAGTAAAGGTTACGAGGCACTCTGCAACAGGTCAGAAACCTTTTCTCCAAGACATAAGCAGCCACTTAATATGACTGATCAGGTAGGGATCATTCTCAGTGTCATTTGCAATACTGCAAACAATTTTTTCCAAAATCATTGACTGGTAGAAGGTCCAAAATGTTCGTTGACTGATGGAGAGGCTAAGGTACACTTTAGTCTACAGCACAAAAAGTTATTTTACCTTTGAGAGCATGCGAAAAAGGGCGGTTTCTAGGGCAAACGTGCACATGCAGATTAAATTAGACATTGAAAAGTATCTGGAGCATTACACAAACCAAAAGGGGTATTACTCATTAGTACCCGACCCGTTTGCAGCAGAAAATGCAGCTTTTCCTGGAAATTTGCTTTCCAGTTTGCAAGCCAATATCCACCTTAAGGAGCCACCTTGCCCAAGATAATGAATGCACTATAGAATCCACTCCTGGAAGTGGATATGTAAATATATTATACATTGTACGCATCATCTGTCTTCTCATTGGCTAAGAGCCTACAGCTAATTTTGGAAATCAGCGCAACCTATGGTCTAGCAGATAACTAACTATTCTGTAAGTTGCGCGCGCAATGCATGATTTCGAATAACAATATCAATTCAGGTTCCTTGCGACGGTGTGTTTTTCTTTATTTTCTTCAAAACAATGTATAAGAAAACAATTATTAGATTCGGTTTTTGTAATATCCTAAATGATCAAGGTCTCGGTAAGTGTTATCAGCCTCGTCCTTCGGCTCAGCTGATAACACTTACCCCGACCTTGATTATTCCGGATATCAAAAAAACATCATCCAATAATTATTCAATATTTATGGGCAACAGTTACTATATGGGATCTCTGATTTTTAGAATTTCGCTTGTGGTCTTCAATCGAAATGATAAAGTTCAACATAGCTTAAGGATGGTAGTCCTCTTCATTCTTTGCAATTTTCTTCTTTAGGTTGAACTTTCTTTTAAGGCCAGCGAGGTTACGCTATTAAAATGGTCACTTCTACAATCTGTTCCTCTAGCCCGACAGCCAACGGCTCTCTCAGTCTCCCTTTAACTTGCAACGAACTTGCGCCTCAGTACAGCCTCTATAATAGTACTAAGTCACAGGCTTTTCGAAAAATACTTAAGGCAATGAAAAGGCCAAACTGCTCTGAATACTGCACAGGACACTCAACATCCACGATAGATAGTGTCTTCTGCCAAAAAACGCTACCAAACTCTCTGGTGTAACTCCTCCCTTTTAATAGCGTAAGATATGTCCACATTCACTTCCGCCTACTTTTCGCAACTCTTTAGTACGATGTCATGTTACTTTAAACCAAAACAAATACGCAGCTGAAGTTAACTGCGTGATACCTTTCTTAAGACATCCATAACCAAGTCTTTGTTGTGTTGTAGGAAAGGATAAAAAGCTTGAATGGCATCTGTTACACTTGCAAGGATATCTGAGATCTGAAAAAAGTGTAGCTTTCATTAGCTTTCGTTCACCTCGAAAGGAAAAATCAGAAACGTTAAAAAACAAAAGAAGCACAACCAGAGTGCTAAACTGAACTGGTAACAAAAGCATGAAAACATATCATAGAAAGGAAAGATAAATGTTTACAGAAGGTCAGACGCTATTAGCTCCCTGCTCAATTTTCCTTGGTTACTTGCTGTTCAAGCTAGCTTATAGCGAAACTCAAGGCGCGCTTGACTCGTTTTTCAAATACGCCAAGATGAGAATACTAATGTCAAAGTATTACCACTTGAATGAGTTCTTACGGGAGGCACCTTGCTGCAGGGGTGGCAATTACACTTAACAAGGTAATATACTTGACTTCAAGCTGGATATGACCTACCTTTGAATCAACTTCCAAGACAGCCTGAATGCATTTCCTGGCCAACGCGATAAATCCCACTGATGACCCTTGAAATGTTACTTGGCTTTGAATGATTTCCTGTCAATAAGAAGTTAAGAAAGTTGAGACATACACACATATCTTAACGTCTGCTCTGCCTTTTATTATCATCTCTCTCAATTTCTTCTGCCTTCAAAAAAATTGATGTGGGCATCATTGGTCATTTGTACCGTGACCTTTCTTATTAATCTGAACATTTGCGTTGGACTGTTAATGGAAACACTAATTTGATCTTTCTGAATGGAAAGGTAGTTCGAAATTCTAGATGACTGCATTTATTGCAACTTTGATTACACAGCACAAAGCCTTGGTGTTGTTCATATTACTAGTTTGTTGGTGTCTTGAAAATGAGGGTTGATGAAAATTCACACCTGACAATAGTGCTATGTAACAGTATGTGTATTCGAAAATACCTACAATGGAAGCATAAAAATATCTTCTACGTGTAGGGAATACATTAATGTAACCTTGCCTTGTGATTTTCCACTTTAAGAAATCTGGACATTACAGCATCTAGGTACCGAGTCAGTCCATCCCACTCCTGTATGGCTTGTTCTGTTTCACGAACACTGACTAAAAACAGCACGTATTAAACACAAACATCAAACCCTGTTCATATTCTTATGTTGCTGTCATAGCTGGCTCAATCCAAATTTAAAGCCTGGCAGACCTACAATTCCTGTCATAATTTGTTGAAACACTTCCGGAAACACAACATAAACTTAGTCGTTCATCAATACACTTATTACTTCCCTCCCCTTCCCACAATGTTGGTTTCTCGCGTTTGCTTGGGCATAAACGTCTACTAAATCAAAATTGAAAGGAAAGGGAAGGAAAAGCTCGCAAGCGTTTCAACAATTATGACCGGGATTGTAGCTTGCAGGTATCTTTTATTACATCTACGTAATAAAACAGTCACTATTCTGTGTGCATTCACACTTTAAAACTAGTACTTCATTGCAAACGTCTTGACCTTTTATGCATTTTTATACAGATTTGACTTTAACCCATTACACTTACTCTTAGCATCTGGAGCAGGCATGTGAGTGGCCCTTTGTAACAACCAACCAGCTCCAAATACGAACGTCTCAACAGGATAGACTAGAGTTAGCTGACGAACAATGTCCATGACTTCGCCTCTGACCTCTGCAACACGACCATGTAACCAAAAAATAAGTAAGAGTTGTTTACCTGGATCGAAGGGGTATGTGATAAATTCACCTGGTGTCACCCCGAGAGTGTATTTATTTGAAGTAAGTGCATCATGAAATTTAACCAAATTTATTCACTAAAAATCAGTACCAAACTGGGGGAAACTTAAAAATAAGCACTTAACCCTTTAAGCCCCGATATCCACTTACAAATTCTCCATACTAATCTCTATACATTTCCATTAAGTTTAGTTGAGAGAATTTGAAAAAAGATCAAGGCATTTTCGCTTTGGTGATCATTTTATTAATTCTCATAACCTTTTCTCTTGACAATGTATGGATATTGTTCGGAGAAAATTAATGTTGATCAGTATTGGGACTTAAAGGATTAAGCAAAAAGATTTAAACAACACAGCAAACACAAAAGAAGGCAAGGATTGCTAAAACTGAAAACTCAATTTTAAGACGGACTGCAACTGGCGTTTTTGAAATTTTTCAGCCTAATCGTTTTTCAGATATTATCTGTGTGGCATGAAAATTCTAATTTTAATGCTTGGGGAACATAGTGTAAATGTAAATCCCTGCCTGATAATTATGAGCAATTCACGCGTTGGCTTGGCACCTCTTTGATTTTAATCAACCGCTTTCATCTTTAATGCTGGCAGGAAAACAGCCTGGTTTAAAAGTTCACACTTCCTTAAGTAAAACAGATAAACTTGGAAATAGTAACTACATCATAGAAATATAATTATGTTCTTAGGTAAGTTTACAGCCAAAATATAAAGGATCCATTCTTACGTCCATTAACCGAAGTGAATTCCCTCATGCTGTTAAAGTCCTCTTTGTTAAAAATACTCCCAGGTGAGTCGCTATCTTCTGGGTGATTGACCTAAACAAAATTAGAAAAATTGGAAAATTCTTCAATTCGTCCTTGCCTTATCTAATTTTTAATTTCAAATTAAAGACACCTTGTTACGCCGCAAAATGTAATAATCGCCGCAAAATGTAATATTAACGCAAAATGTATAGACACCTCTCGAATGTGGACTCATATTTTCAGTCCCTGACACATAAAAAAACACTTTAATTGCGGAAAACTCCCACAACCAAGCCACATACAAACATTGCACTTCTAACCTTGTTGGCTTACAGGAGCAAGGTAAATTGTATGAAGTTAAAAATGATTGATACCTTAAAAAGCTTGGCTTTCGATATTTCCAAGAGTGCTGGAAATATTGATGTATATGTTTCATCCCTGGCTATAATAGGATTTCTTAGAAATGCAAGCCATACTGTGTTTGTTAGATGAGATATGGTCTGAAAGAAAGTAAGGTCAAAGAAAAAAAAATCAAGTCAAAAAACAGGGATCATTGCCAGTAACAAGCCTGTAAATGCTGTACAATTATTGTATTATTCAGGTATGTGCAGTTAAGCCTTGATGATCCACTCCTCAGTTAACCTGGCTACTTGATTATCTAGACTATTTTCTCTACCCTCAGACTAATAATAGCTTGTAATCAAATCTAACTTCGTTTGAGAATGCTTTTACTGACCTTTGTTACTACCTTACTTTTGGTATAAAACTGATATGACTTGTGACACATTTGTGACAAAATTGTTAGCTTGTGCAACAATTGATTGAAACTTTGACTTCCTAAAAATGATGTTCTACATCGTGGGAAGGATAATGTGCAAAAAATAAAAGAGCATTCTACAAATTAACTGATTAGGCCCCTTTTTTCTGTCTACTGACTATTTGACAGAGCAATTTACTGATTACAGACTGGAGGTATATACTAAATTGACACTTTTAGCCACTGGCCAGAGCAAGAATCAAAAGGAAGTTCTCAGATTGAGGGTCCAAACACAAAAGAAACCCATTAATTTGTAATAACTTACCAAGCTTTCATGCTTTGCAAATGCTAAAAGTGCTTCCAAATATTGTTTGAAGTTTGGAGGTTTCTCATTTGGATAAGTAGCATTCTAAAGAACAAACATTAGTAGAAAATCAACATAAACAGTGGCTCCTTATGACTGACACATCATCTCCTATCTTGCAATATTTAGCCTATCAGATCATCCCTTTAAACCTTAATATCACCATGCATGTTCTCCATACAAGGTGTTCACATGTTTCCAGTATTATTGAAAGAATTGGACCAACATGTTTGATGATGTTGGACCAACATGTTGATTGATGTTAGACGAACATTGTGGATGATGTTGGAGCAACATGTTCCAGATAATATTGGACCAACATGTTTGATCTACTGTAAGAGCCCTGAAGACACATTACAGTACCATTGGTATTTCAATGATTTTTAACCAACAGCATTCAAAACAAAATTCCGATACAGTGACTGTAATCCTTATAACTAATCTACAAACTTCCACAGAACAACTTGTGTTAAATCCTCTTACCCACAAATGGAAGAGCTGTGCTTCACCTAAGGTCACCAAAACCTGGCACAATCTTTTCAAGAAAAGATACTGTCTTTCATCAAATTCTGCAGTAACTGATCTCCTAAAAAATGCATCAAGAAAAAATTATTTAATGATGCCTTAGAATCATGATTCTGTGGAAATGTGCAAAAACTATGCAAGGTGGAAACTTTCTTTTGCTTAATATGACATTTTTTTGTTGCCAAGTTAAGATGACTGAACATCAGACAACACACTTTTCCACATCTTTGTATTATACTCTTCAACAGCTCAATAACTCTAACAACAATCATGAAGGCAAAAGTTTTCATTCTTCTAAAAGACTGAATCACATTCCCAATCTTCAGTCATAGTAGTGATTTTCTTTGTTTTCTTGAATGAATGATTGATTGATTTATTGATTGATTGACTGCTTGATTGATTGATGGATTGATTGATTGATTGATTGATTGATTAATTGACTGACTGACAAATGACCAACTGACAATGAATCGACCGATCAACAGACTGATTGACTGAATATCTTTATGTGGTTACTTCTAGTATTCTGAATTATATGTATTTTGGGGATGCATTTCAAATTCAAAATAAAATGCTCTACTCTATGTAAAAGTGTCAATTCCAATCCTTTTTAATTACATATTATTGTATTAATGATATCTCTGAATATACTTACTGGGCAGCAGACAGCATGATGCTCATGGCATCCTCACTGAACAGTTTTAGCAATGGTGTCCTTTCACTTGACTTTCCCTAGAACCAATTTTTTATTGAGAATATTCACATTAAACAATTCTATATTAGCTTTTACTGTTTTACAGTAAACGTCAAAGGGAAATGACACTTTTATTAGTTTGACTGGTCCTTATCGAATGCATGACCCACCCCCTCTAGAAACATACAGTACCTTATGGGTTCTCACATTTTCGGAAAATGGTCACATCCTTTCATGGATCTGGGCTTGCTTAATGTCAAAACACATATTTACCACCTAATTTCATTAAAATTGAATTTTCTTTTGCTGCCCCTATACATCTCAAAAATAGTGGGGAGAAGTTTTCAAAGTATCAATATGAATTGAATCCATTTTATGTGATCATGTCCTGAATTCTCTTGACCCCTCTGTTACATAATGCATTGATAGAACAGGGAGAAATTTGATGCTGATCACATTTGGGGCTTGCTCTTTACAGAAGTCTTATGTTGTATCACTTACTTGTTCAATTAATAACTCATGTCATGTAAAGTTTGATTAGAAAATTGGGACTAGTACGTTTTGAAGCCTAATGAGATCAGTAATGTATTCTGGGAAATTTTTTACCTATCCCTCCCCTATAAACTCAACATTTTGCCCAAAGTGAGCAGTTAGTTTGCTTGAACATTGGGTTAAGGGAAGAGTGGGTGGGCAGTCATACAATCCACCAACCCCTCCCCTAACTCAACATTTTGCCATACGTTTAATAAAAGAAGGTGTTCACATTGGGTTAGGGGAGGGATAAGTGGGCAGTGCCTAGAATCGACCTACACTCGTACCCCTCCCCTAACCAAACATTTTGTTCTAAATGAGAAGTAAGTGTCAATATTGGCTTATAAGGGAGGAGACTAGGTGGCCAGTTCAAGAATCTGCCTACCCCTCTTAAACCCAAACTTTTGTGCTCATGTTGGTTTAGAGAAGGAATGGGTGGACAGCTAGTTTCCCAGAATCTTATCCTCACCTTTCTGCTGACGATCATAAGCAGGCAGTCAGCAGCTCTTATTTTGAGTGCATCTTCCTCCAGTAGCAGGCACAGCATTTGTAGAATGATACAGTTCTGTGTGTAAAGTACTGCAAACTTCACCCAGTCTAGGTATCCTGTTAGTGTGAGTAGTGTCTGTTCTGCAAGACGCAGATGAACTGAAGCCTGTAGTTAAGACAAAAAGTAACAGAATAATAACTATAATGAACATATGACCCACAGGCTTCTTCTTTTTTGATCTGTCTAAAAGGAAAATCACCTTAAGATTCTAGGATACTGTTTACAACCTACCCCTTAATACTTACAGAGAAGTTAGTATTAACATTGGGTTCAGGGGGCGGGGGGGTGGGATGCTGTTGTCAAGTCAATTTTGTTTTTCTCAGCCAGGTACGTTTCCCCGATGAAACAATGCTCGCTTTGCTAAATTAATTCTTGGTTTATCAAGCCACAGACATTGCAGTTCATGGTGTACAACGTAAGTTTATGAATCGGTTCAAAACTTCAGTTGTGGAAAGTGCTCAGAGATCATTAACTTACAATGTATGAACTTTTTAACATAACTTATCATTAAGGATTTGAATATATCTAGCTTGATTAGTGAAAAAAGTGATGAGCATATGACAACCTCTTTACTTGAACATGACGACAGATAATTTGCCAGACATAGGAATATAGTTGTTTAGGACTTAAAGTACGATTACAGCAATTCTGTATCTTAAACTTTTCTTTACTGAGTACACAACTTCAAGGCATAGCCTAAAAATAGTTTGTAAAATTCACAAAGTGAATTGCCTGTAGGCAGTTTCGATAAAATTCCACATCTCTTAGCACTGCAACCTATATTTCTTTAAGTTAACCTTTTCACTCTTACATGCACATGTAATAATGGCCAAAGAAAGAAAAATTGCAGGAAATAAATGCTACTGAAGCAAATGTTCTGCCAAAGGTTTCATTTGAATGGTAACACTAAGGAGGCAGTATGGCCGAGTGGTCAGTGCATCTGACTCGCAATACAGTGGCCCTCGGATTAAGTCGTGCTCTGGCCACTTGCCGGATTTATTCTCAGTTATTCGAATTCAAACCCTCGGCCACACTTGTAAAAGCCAACTGGTTGCCATCTGCCAGTAGGGGTTTTTAATCCTGTCATATTATATTTGAATATTTTGTCTCTAATTCTCTAAGTGGAGTACCTGTAGACTAGCTGGATAAGCTATTTGCACTTATACTTCCACTATAAACAAGCCTTTAACCTTTTCTTAACAAATTATTTTCATCCACAGATTTGAAAGTCAAAATGACAAATAACCTTACCATAACTAGGACTAGGAAATTATGGAAGGTCATTTATGATAAAAACAGGTTCATCCTTGGTGTAAAAACCTCTGAAACTCACGAGTGACGTAAAACAATGAATACAAAGAAGCTACTGAGAAGACAAAACAATAGAGCCAGGGAAAATAATACCTAGAAAACAAAGAAAAACTTCACAGGTTTTTACACCGAAGAAAACCCTAAAAACAAGTAACAGGTTTATTACTATTGTTACTCTATATATACCTTTAAAGTTCTATATTTAGTTGTATTAATCTGCAGTGTTTCAATGAAAAAGTTGAACAGTCCTTGTGCCTGCGTGTTTAACTCCTGGGTAATCTGTTTCTTTCTGTTGGACTGTAGGTGGCTGTCCATTGAAATCACGTCTTCAGCAAGCCGCAACAGAATCATAAGCACTGTTTCAGTTTGAACATCCTGCCAAAAAATTAAGTATACAAACAACTCTCTGTTGTAGATGTTATATGTACGGGTCAGTTTAAAATAAGGTCAATTTTTTTTAACCTTGGTTGATTCTCAATTCCTTTGTCTTCTAGTCCTAATTCATGAATAATTAGGACTAGGAGGCAAAAGAAATTGAGAATCAACCTGGGTTAAAAAATGTTAACCTGAATTTAATTTTGACCTGTAACATAGACAAGCCAGGTCAAGTATACCCTTATAGATTCCATTACTGAACTGAATGTTTGAGAACTAAATCTGTTAGTTATTGCTACTACAGACTCGAGACTCGATCCTCTAGACGCGAGGCTCTATCCTCGAAAGTTCCGAGATTTGAGAATATAGTCTCGCGTCTCGAGGATCGAGACGCAAGTGACTGTCCACTGACTTTTGAGCGGTACTGTTAATTATTATTAAGTTGTCAGAAACTCAGGCATGCGTAATGAGCACAGAATTTCACACCACAACTTCCCCATATTTCAAACTTTGAATGGATAAAATCCAAATAAAGACTTTAATTTCAAGTTCAAGTTTAAAAAAAGCTGAGCTGATAAAAATTTTAACTACCTCCCATGTGAATTACTGCTCATTACATAATGCAAAAATGGAAAAATTATTCTGATGTTATCACACTAACGGATTCAATTTTCAAATAATGAATTGATTTTGATTTCATATCAGGAAATCTGGGGGACACTTGACTTGCCTTACATGTAACTGTAATGAACACTTTTATAAGATGGACACCTTCCTAAATTGTAGAGCTTGAGTTGATCCCTGCCCTCTCCAGTCCTTTCTCATTTTTCTCTATATAGCATAGCAATCTCACAGATAATTGCTGGTCGCAATCATCAAGATCAACCAAACTGCTAAAACTGGCTCATTCACTGGTCTATTAACAGCTAATACATATTAGTAAAATCCAACTAGTGGTCTATGATCAATGCTGTGTTCTGATTGGTTGAGCGACTGCTAGGCTGTATGTTGTAGCCCACTAGTAGCGAAAAGCGCTAGCTTTTTGGTGGCAAAAAAGGATTAATGTTTGTCTTTAACTAGCTAAAATTTTTTTATTCTTGATTTTTTTGACCAACAAGTCGGATTTTACTAAAACAATTATTCCTCTCGCCCTTATGGCCTCTGAGTCAATAGCTCATTCGGCCTTCGGCCTCATGGGCTATTGACTCAGAACCCATTCGGACTCGAGGAATAATTGTTAAAATAGACCTTACCCCTAATCCACATATGCTATTCAGGTCTGGAAGCAACGAGTCCCATTTCTGTGGCCATTCTCTCTTTGCTATTTCCACGATGATTCGCGACAACTGCTCTTTGATGTGAGCGGGCTCATCTGGCAAATTACCACTTCCCTAGGGAAACAGAAACATGGACACCAACGTTACAAGTTATAAACCTGTACGAACCCTGTCCTTGAAGAATCAGCAAAGAGAATTTGATCAACCTTTTAGATCAAAGCATTTTCACTCTAGTGATCATTTCGTTAATTCTCATAACCTTTTTCTCTTGAAAATGTATTGATGTTGTTAGGAGAAAACTGATGTTCATCACTCATAATGGAACTTGGAAGGGAAATTAACTCCCTGACTGGTACTGCCAGAAACACAAAATCTGTACAATTGTAGGTGTTAATGAAATTGATGCTTCAGCTAACCTGTGCCAGTAGACGTAAAGACATTTTCTTCAGTTCTGCTTGTTCATCTGGACTCATTGAATTCCAGTTGAATCTATGTTATGGAAATTTAATTAGATTCATGAGCATGTAAACCATGAAAATGTGTACTTCTCAGATAAACGTGCTTATTCAAAACACAGCTTTAACTTAAAAAGGACTTATAAACATTACTTGACAGTGTGCTCCAGGAGTTGAAGTCCCGTGTGACGGATTACAGCAGCATTCTGCCGATCAAACAAAGCAAGAGCCACAGGGACACACAGTGGAGAACTTGCCTTGAACTGCTCAATGAACTGTAGAAATCAGACATAAGAATAAATATCAGTGGTTAGACGATCCGAAGTAGAACTTGGAGGGTCATGAGTTGCATTCTCACCTGGAGCTCGGAAAATTTTTCGGAGCTTTCTGGTGTTTGAATTCTCCTTCTTCTTTAATATATCAAACAAATGGAGTCAAAGTTTTTTAATTTGATGTAAGGACAACAATAGATAGTTTGGCAAAAACAAAATTAACAGTTACAGTTGTATCAATGTCATGCAACCAACTTCAAAGGTGTCTAGTTTTAGTTGGAACCAACAGCGTGCAAAGAAAGTCGTGTCTGATAGCCCGGGGCTAGTGAATTTTGCCATCGGGCTAGTGAATTTGGTTTTTTAACTTGCCCAACGGGCAAGTGACGTTTTATGAGGAATTCAATAACAGAGGAACTGTGAAATCAATTCTGCTAGTCAAAAAGTTTCTGGGGCTAGTTGAAATGATGTCTGGGCTAGTAACTGCTAGCTTCAGCTTGCCCGAATAGCAAGCTGTAAAAATGATTTTCTTTGCACCCTGAACCAAGTTTCACACATTTCTCAAATGGAGCATTTCCACTTTTACGGACTATCAATCAAGACTAAGTAATCTCATATGAGTTCTCCCAACAGGAGTCGAACCATACTGACCTACAACCCTGAACAAAACTGTTGAGACAGTTATATATTTTTTCTAACTTTTGCACCCCACTACCTTCTTCTCTAAACAGAAAAAGTAAGTCCCCTCCCCAAACCCTATTCAAAGTTGTCTTGGTCTAAAACCAACATGTTTAATTGCCATACTATCCTAAACAACTTTGGATAAGGGGAGGGGGAAAATCAGGCATTCATTTAGCAATGGTTTCAATTTTTGCCAGGATGACAGGAAAAAATAGGCATTTTCATGATTTGTCTCAACTGGTTTTGTCCGGGGTTTTAGGTTAAAACTAAACAACCTAGGTTGAAAGAAATCAACCTAAAAACAAGTTACTTTTAACAGGGATACTATGACAAGCTTTGTGTGACAAACATGAACCTCGTTTAACGGTCGTAAAAGTCATCATGTCTATCTTTTTACTGCTAATCTTAACTCATTTACGAAGTGTGCGTTCCTTTGGGATGATGCAGATCAGGATCAATGATCTGAGATCACTCGGATCATGATACATCAGAATCAACTGATCAATCCTTTCCCAGAGTGGAATCGTCAGTTATTGTCCCAATGAAACGCACTCTAAATGATTACGTTATGTCAAACACACATAATAGACATTTTTAGCTTGTAGGTTTTATTTTCCCAATTCAGATCACGCGATGTTCTCAAGGGAATTTGCCTTTTGTCTTTTCATTAGTTATGCACGGATATGTACTTGGATAGTGCAACATTTGAAAGAAACAGTTCTTTGGGTAACATCACATGGCCTGGAAAACGTACTACAAGCTTCAATTGGCAAGAACTGTTATTCTTGGAAACGTGCATCTTCTTTGAACATCGATATTCAGCATCATTTCGAAGTGAGTCTTCTGGAGATCACTTAAAACTCACCTCATAAGCTTTAACTCTCTGCTGCTGAACAGTCGAAGGATCCAACGCCGTTTCCACGGCTTGAATTAACCGTTTAGAAACTTCTTCCACTTCAGAGGCAGCCATGTTTGAATGCCTTGGTATGTCATGACACTGATCACATAGTGTCCTTTAAAAGGTTTACCGCTACTCTACTACAGGCTCAAGTTGACCGGGCTGCGAGGGATTTCTGTACTTTGTAAGGCAACTGGGACCTGCAGCTGGCATTCCAAAAAAACTGATGCAGTTTGCCTCGAAGCTGCCTTGATCGAAAAGATACAGTCTGTACCTTCATCAGCTAAGACTATGCTTGCAGATCTGGTTTCGAGCGTGGTTGGCCGATCCTCAAATCGCCCGAGGACTCTGAGTGGGCGCGCGGCATCTGGCTTTGCGCGAAGGCAATATGCATCTGAAATTTAATTGTGTGTTTTAAGTGTTTGATTTTTAATTTCTTCCGGCTAAATAATGGCGGACGACTCGTTTGTTGAACCAAAAGCATCGGAAGAACCTTACACGAGGATAAAGACCCTGGGAAGAGGAGCTTTTGGCGAAGCAGTTTTGTATCGCAAAACGGAGGTAAGAATAGATTTGTTCAGTCTTCAGTTTATATCGCTGCAAGCAAATATCGCAAGCAAAAGGCAGCACGTATTTCTTTCGCAGGGCTTTGGCTGCGGTTATTAAAAATAATACTCTCGCAAATTTTGCATTTTTCGAGAATAATGTCAGCGCTTTTTTTGCGGTACACTTTTCTTATCGCAAAAAATTTCCCTTTCCAGCAGGGTTTATACTGAATGCGGGGGTTGCGATAATCGTTTCTCCCTTCCCGAGTAATCGTGTTGTTAATAATTCATTATCCTCCAGTTGTTAGCAAGTTGATGTCTCTTGACCTTTTATTTCCTGTGGCAATTATTTTAAGTCGAAAGTTGTCTTGAAAAGCTGAAATTAAACTGGTCTAAGCTTAATTAAACTGGCTTATCGAAGTGCGTCTTGAATGAACATTTTTCGCATTTTTGGACTGTACTCTTTTGTAATAATTATACAGCTTTCAGGTTTCTCAAAAGCTCGGAAAAAGGATATTTTTACCATAGTTTTTTATTTACGTTTGTGAAAAGTGATACTATGGGCAGTGTGCTACATCAAATTATTATTAAGCTTATTATTATTATTCTAAGTGTCAAAGATCAAACAACAGCTGATTTCTTGAATTATTATTTTGAAAGAATAGCTAAATATTTCGTAGTTTCAGATATTTAGTAAGGAGAAAACTCACACAAAAAAAGAAACATGTGAAGGGAATTTTGTAGTACGTAAAATACTACACTAAGAAGGTTTGACATCATATTTATTACATAGCTTTGGGGTAATCAAGCATGGATTGTTTACCTTTAGTTTTAAGAGTTTAATCAGCACTTGAAAGTTTAAAAATGTCAGGCATTCATGTATGGATGGAGAGGATCAAAATAATATCTATCTACTGTGGATAATCCTTTTGCATGAAGGTGGTCATTCCAGTATTTTAAAATTTGATATGTCTAGACATTAGAGACCTTTAAATTCAAGGACGACGAGGACCATGAGTACAAGATTTGACTTGAAGTTTTTTCTTGTCTTCTCAAAATATAGACCTCCCAGAAAGCTTCATTTTACCATTTTTCAGTAGAAAACTTAGCATTGTTAACTTAAGTGAAGAAGGTTATGCGCTCTCCCGATCGCAAAAATGATAAAACTTCTAACATTAATTGATACATGTATCTTGTTTCGCCACCACGACATTCGCACGAAAACTCATAGAAGAGTGACAATGGCTACCACATTTTCGCGCCAAAATGACGCCGGCTTATGCGCGTGCACTACTTAGTTTTGAGAAAATCTCCTTCTCATAGTCATACTCGTCTTAAATTCTAAAGCTGTCTATTAAATATACAGATGGTTCAACCATCCCCATCTTGTCACAGTTAAGGTTGGACAGTCTGCTTATAAATTATATCCGATAAGAGATGTATTCTGGTAAAGTAGTACTTTACATAGCAATCTGAATATAACAGGGGGCAGATCCTGGATTTTTTTTAGGAGGGGGTGCACTCGTCTCTTGCTCTCCTTCAACACCAATAAACCACATAGTTTTTTTTTTTTTTGCAGAATACCAGTTGTATTAGAAAACCGCAGGTCATCTCAGGGGTTAGGGTTTAGGGGTTAGGGTGCGCACCCCCTGCCCCCTGCACCCTCCCCCTAGATCCGCCACAGTATAAGCAGTTTTAGTATTTATTTTTCTCAGTGAATTAAGTTTATATGACTTGCTTGTTGAAGGTACTGTCAGTGACATAGAGGCCTTCTTTGGGGGGGGGGGAGGTTACATATGTTCCTAGTCTGAATTTCAAAAGCGGTTGTTTAATGTATTGAAGAGGAGGCTATGTCACTGTCGGTATTTTGCTACCAACTGTGTTTGCGATTTTCCTCGTCACAGTTGCAGTTTTCAACCCATCTTCATGTCATTTGTTGCAATTTCATCTGTCTTATGTCCCTGTTTTAAGGCTATGTCAGTTGATGTAATTTAATCTTAACAGGGCCATAGAGTGTATTTCTCTTTTAGAGATGGAGAACTGGTGGGTAAATTTAAAAATCCTGGATCTTGGAAAATCTGATCTCTAAAGTCTTGGAAGCATTTGTTGTGATTTCGTAGTTTTTTTGTTTTGTTTTGTTCTTTTTTGTTCAGTCTTTTTAGAAGTATTTAGCTAGAAACTACCTGACAGATGTGTTGTTTAATACAATTATTTTTTGACAAAAAATAATAATACCCCTGCAACTGTAAATTGCCAGTATTCACATAACCTTTGATCTTTAGTAATTTAATCTATATTTCTTGTCAGGAAAAATTTGATGATGATCAACAGTGGACCTTTAAGATATGACTAATTTTTAGTAAAGAAATATTATTCTTGAATGAAGGCAAGAATTGACCTGCCATTTTCTGATTGTATTGTTGGATTGTTATTTGTCATACCAGGACAATGTCCTTGTGGTGGTCAAAGAGGTCAATTTGAGCCGCGCCAGTGACAAGGAAAGAGCTGATGCTGAAAAAGAGGTGGATATCCTGTCGCTGTTGAATCACACCAATATTGTAACATACTATAATCATTATATCGATGGTACCTCACTGCTCATTGAAATGGAATACTGCAATGGTGAGTGTTAAGCAGTTCTTTACTTTCAATCCACTTTTCTAAAGTAAAAGGAAAAAATTTTTATTTACTGTTACACTACCTCTTTCTTTAAAAGAAATAATGATTAAAAGATGCCTTATGCATTTTATTGTTATTTAAATATTCAGGCCTGAAATGATTTAAAATTTGGTGGATTATTTATGTCTTCTTTTATTCTCAGGTGGCACACTGAATGATAAAATATATGCACAGAAAGAGCTTTTTGCAGAAGAGGTAGGCTGGGAGAATACGACGACAGTGTACATTGCACCTTTCACCTATCCTTTAGTCATGGTGACCATTAAGGCACCATGGACCTAGCAACCCTTTCCCTCCATTTGATTTTGTTTTCAGATTCTTTAAGGGCAACGCAAAACTTCAACCCTTATATCCACTCAGAAATGTTACCCTCCCAACGCTTCTTTTGTTGGCCCCTTCTTCTCCTTCCTTGCACTGTTCCTTGTAAAATTGTCTTGGCAAGCCCTGCTGATCTTGATGCCCAAACCACTTTAACACTACAGTGTACACTCTTAGGGTTTACAATAAGAGCTGGTGGCTGACGAAATTCATTGGTGGTATAACTTTGAACTACGTAAAAATCTGTGGTAGCCACCAACTTCAATTAAGGGATTTACAGTGTTAGTTATTTACTTTGTTGTGTTGCTGAAATACACTTTGGCTAAAAAATAATTAATTATTATATTAATTTTATTGATTTGCTTTATGACAGATAGTAATCTGGTATTTCTTCCAAATATGTTCTGGAATGAGTCACATTCATGAATGTGGTATTGTTCACAGGTAAAAGAGTGAATATGGGGTTATGAGAATTGTTTTTTTCGAAAGGCTATGACTTAGTGTTAGTTCTATGCTGCGGAGCTCTAAAGTCAAGCCAGCCTAAAAAGAATAACAACCCTAATGAGCATGCGATAAAACGAGTTGTAGTCTGTCTAATTCCTTTGAAATTACATCCAAAACGCTTTTGGAAGAAAGGAAATCTGGTTAAGATCAAAACGAACAATCTTAAATGATAGATTTCAAGTTATTTATGTCCTAAAAATGATCTACCAGTTCGATAAGAAGCAACGTTCGAAGTCAGGTCGAAAACGAAATGATATTTACCCTCGGAAAGTGATTTTATTGTCCAACCCCCTCCCCTCTGGAATTTCCTGGACCTCTGACCCCCCCATCCCTCTGGAATTTCCAATTCCCTCCGTGGTGGAGGTCTGGATATTTTCTGGAACCACACAATGAAATAAAATACTTGCCAGAGTGTAAAATTTTTGTAGCAATAATTTATTTACTTGTACGTTCTTAACTCTTTAATGCTCTTCTAGTCTTCACATGCAATTCTCCGGACTGATTTCGAATTAGTTGAGAGAATTGGTTTCATAAAAGTTCAAAGCATTTTCCCTTGGATATTATCACATTTTTGATGTAGAAATTTATTTTTGCCTCTAGAGACATCAAGACCCTTAACATTTTCTTGACTAAATCTGGGTTGGTGAAACTTGGTGATTTTGGTATCGCAACTGTGTTAAAAGGATCAAGAGAATTTATGGCTGAATCTGTAAGATTTCAATCTTTGTTGTTGTTCATTAGACAGAAGTGGTTCCTGTTTTAACTTTAGTAAACTTTTCTTTTGTGTGACCTTGATATCTGGAAAACTTTATTAGGCTTTGCACAAAACTTCAGTGCCTAAACTGACGGGGGGGTACTGGGATGGGGGAGTTATGGTGACAGATGCAAAGTAGTTTCGGGTTTGCAATTCATGATTCCGATATTTTTAGGCAAGGCAAATGTGGCTTGTAGTTTTGGGTGGTATATGATTTAACCAGGGAGTAATACTTTCCAGGGGTAAAATGTAAAGATTTGTGTACATATATTAATATTATATGCAATGTTGTCCTTTAATTTTTGTCTTGGTTTATATTGTCAACCCAGTTAATTTGTATTTTCAAACCAGTAATTATTATTGATTTTCAAACCATTTTCAATGTGTAAAGTCCAGCTGTAATTTTTTTCATTGGAGAGTGAATTGCATTTAGCCTAGAGATCTTAGCAGTTGTTGACAGGATTTAACTAATTACCATATAGACTTAGTGATTAGGGTTTAAGCACCTATTTTAGTGATTGGGATTGAGCACTGATCTTATTTCTAAAAAAAAACATTGGGCAGAAATGTGTTAACAACAAGTAACTCTTTTGTTGTGATTCTAAATAGGTTGTTGGTACCCCATACTACATGTCACCTGAAATAGTCCAAGGACACAAGTAAGTACCTGAGCAGTTTAAGTGGTGTGTTGATCATTGGTTACAATAAGATTTAAATTTGACAATCAATTTTGCTCAAATAGATTAAAAGTTCATTTTTCTAGAAAAAACAATTTAAACAAGTGCAAGTGTCCTTGTTATGGACTTTTTGTGGCAGCTTTATTTGAGTTAGGGCTCGAAAAAAAACTTGAATTCCAGCTGGTCATTTGGGCAAGCTGCTCTGACATTTTTCTTGCCCGTGTCCACTTCTCGCTTGTCCTATAATAAATTAGTTAATTAATGATTTTGTTAGAGGATGCCTAAAACCTTTAGAAGTTACTTGCCCAGCAAGAAAATTAACTCATTCTGGACTACTGGATGGGGCTTTTTGTGAGCCCTGAAAGTCTGAATGTGCTAGATGTATGCCTGAATTTCACATGAGGTTCAACAAACCTCCCTGGCTTATTATTGTAACAGGAAGCTACAGGACAGTGTAGAAAATTAAACTTTAATGAACTTTAATATCAAGCTGACAAACAGTCCCAAATGAATTGTTTATATGTTTACTATCATCGTGGTTTTTGCCAGGAAATTATGATGGGCAGCTGTCAATATGGCAGTGGTTAACAGATAGTACATCTATTTGCAGATACAACCAAAAGAGTGACATGTGGGCATTGGGATGTGTTTTGTACGAGATGCTCACCCTGAGAAAAGTGTTTGATGCAACAGTAAGTTGAAAATGTTTTCTTCACTACCCTTCAAAGAAAAACTTAGACCAAGACTTGACTTCTCTTTAATAAATACCATTTCAATTCATACATTTGTTGTTTCTTTATTTCATTTCTATGCTCTTTTGAAAGTTCAGCAATAATCCAAATTTTTTTCTCCATGTTCCTTACTGAACCATAGGATCTATTCAATCATACAGTTTACACAAATGCCTTATTTATAAAGTACACTAATTCATTCTTTCCTAATTTGTAGAATCCTCTGAGACTTGTGTCAGACATTGTCAAGGGGCAGTATGAAGAGATTGACTCACAATATACAAGTGACATGCATAGTTTGGTAACAATTCTGTTATCACAGGTATTGTTTTAAAGTATATTTAAATAATTCAAAAAACTGATATAAGTACACTTATGTCCAGGTTTGCTTGCAGCTTGTAAACCTGGACATATCTCTACCACTAATGGAACAGGTACCTAGAAATACTGTATAAGCCTCAAAAGACTCTTAATAGACCTTTGTCATGCGGCAGCCATTTTGTCTCAGGAGATTTAAAAAGTTTGGTTTATGCACAGATAGCCTAGTAGAGAGAACGAGGTTAGCCATGCATAAACAAAGCTTTTCATATCTCCGGAGACAGAATGGCCACAGCATGGCAAAGGTCTGTAAGTTGCTACCACCTCGGACAAAACTGTTAAGTCAGTTATATTCCAACTGTTTTCTAACTTTTGTGCCATACTTCCATCTCCTCTAGACAGAAAAAGTAAGAAACCCTTCCCACACCCCTATTCAATGTTTTTTTGGTCTAAAAATCATTATGTGTGATTCTCGTGTTATCCTGAACAACATGGTACAATTAACGGGAGGGGGGAAATCAGACATTCATTTTGCGACGGTTTCCATTTTTGGCAGGATGACAGGAAAACATAGATATTTTTGTGAGACATGTGTTTCAACATGTTTTGTCCAAGGTTGTACTGTATCTTGTCTTCCTAATTTGTGACATTAATTTTTTTTTGGTTGTGAAGACAAAAGAAGAATTTGGCTCATGATTAAGAGTCACTTGTGGTGACCTTTTCTGTGTTTCAGAAAGAGGGTAAACATTTGGGTTCATGTACATAAAGATAATATTTTTTTTTTAAGGAACTCTGCAAGAATTTATATCCAGAATCAAGGCTCTGGAAGACACATTTTAGAACAATTTTTTTAAGTAAAACAAAAATCCCAAAGTAAAGGGGGTACACCATTCCCACCCCTTTCCCAACTCCACCCATGCCAATTGCACGTCAATTATTTACATGTAGGTGCCATAGACACCAAATCCAACCACTGACCTTCTAAAGAAAAAGAAAAGCTCACAATAAGTGGAAAATTTTCTTTTTTTTTTTACAATATTACCAACCACAGGTAAATCCAGAACTCTAACAGGCAACTTTTAGCAAGTAGCATTTTGTTTTGTACTCTCCCATTTGTGGAATATTGTGTTTAACTTATTGACTTGAGATATTTATAACAATCTTAGAATCCAGATGACAGACCAACAGTTGCAGAAGTTCTAGCTATGCCTTTACTAAGCAGTTTGGGAAGGTAATACTGTTTTTCTACACGAAAACAATAGCAGACACAATCATTGCATGTACTAAAAATATATTTAGAAACTGCAAGGGCAATAAAACATCACATTAAATTCATTCAGTTTTGCTTACTGTTGTATGACAGCAGTGTAAACCTATCCCCATCTCTAAATAACGTTAAGAGGTTGGCCAACTAATAGCCACAAGAAGTAGAGTAGTCAAAGCTGTCACAAACACACGGGACCCACCACTCCACAAAATGACTGGATGTGGTGGTATCTTTGTGTTCTCACTTTTCTCAACATCTCAAAGTTGGGTTTCAAATTTTTCGTTTTATGCCATCTTCTCCTTATTTGAATAACTAGGTAGGGGGATGAAGAATTGTTAGTTCAGTAACCAGTACCTTTTGTCAATTGTTATAACTTTTTTTTCTCTTGAAGGGAAATGCAAAAGAAAGTTTGGGAGTTGAATGCTTCAGCCAGAAGAGCCAGGTAAGTGAAATGTTCCAAAGGTTATTAAGAAGTTAGCTCTAACAAGTTGAAGGATGGCTTAACCTGAGAATGGATTGTACGGGATGTACAACAAATAAATCGAACGCAAAAAAAAGGACTTTCTAAGTGTAGTTACGGACTTCTGCTCCATCAATTTTTTTAAAAGTTCTTTGGTATACAGGCTTGTTATATAAATAATACCTGATACCAGAAATTTTATCTGAAAATAACGCCAATTTTTTTCGGTAGATGGCCAATTTTCTTTGGAAAGTATAGTCCACTAAAGCACCAATTTCATCAAAAATATTTATCACCTATAAAGTTTACTTATTTTTGTATTATTGCCAAATGGTAGGTGTAGTTTTCCTTAAAGGTTTGAACCCAACTTTTTAAGACCAAAAAAGTCATGTCGCCCCATAGAAGGAAATCCAAGACAGTCTTGGATTCTGTATCCCAATCGTTAGTGGGATTCTGGATTCTTTGAGCTTTATTCCAGATTCCAAAGCGCCGGATTCCGGATTCCACAAACAAAGATTGAAAAGCTGAAAATCGGTTGTTTTTACAAATCAAGTCGGGAAGAATTCTCGTTATTTTGTGGGCGTTTCTAATAAAACAATTATTCCACTCGCGCTTGTTGGATATGAGATGATTATAGCCACCTCAGCGCTATGCACCTCATTGGCTATCTACCATCTCATAACCAATGCGCACTCGTGGAATAATTGTTAATTATCTTTTCCTTACCTTCCCTACCTTCATTTGCCTGCTTTGGTTTATTAAGGCACGCCAGTGGATCAACAGAAGTTGTCCCTGTTATCACATCTAAAAGCAGTGAGGTAAGTATCTGCATTAATGCACTGAATTTGATGGGTCCTTGTATCATCACGGGCATCATCTTTTAAAACAGTATCATTGATCGAATTTATACTAGAGAGAAATTCTCCGTCTATACGAATAATCAATCAGACAATTCGTCTACATGTAGGTATAAATTCGTGAAAACGAATTGACAAGGATTTTTGGCATCTTTGTGTCAGTCTAGTTATAAGTTTAGAGAACTGTCTCAGACAAATTCTCCGTCTGTTAGTACGTCTAAAGACGTGATGACAGATATATATAAACAACCGAAGATGAATTTTGGCCCAAAATTCATCTGATAACCGGAATTATATCTAGACGAATAATTCCTCTACATAAATTTGGCCATTACATTGGGCCACACTTTTTAAATCCTGTCCATCATTTCATTTTTTTTTTAAAGTTTTTGTTTTTTATCAAAAATGGTAAAAACGTACTTCCCAAAGTGATTTATAATACAAAAGCCAACGACAAAGTTGCTAGTTATGTGATGAAACTCTGTGTTTATTTTTGATGTATTGCTCCTATGGGTTAAGCACTCATTTTACGAATTAGGGTTAAGCACTGTTTTGGGTTAAACACTTACTTACAACGCTTACTTACAACACTTACTTAATGGCTTGCTGGCTCGCACTGTTTACCAACTAATTCAAAGTGATAGGAATATACTATCTGAATGTTTTACGAGGTCAAGTCGTAAAAAGCTAACAAAATCTACCATTAACAAGGTCGTTGGCTTCATAACCATGCATGGCACTTAATTAACCATGGTGGCACTAACACTGAACTTTCATTTTGGTTTGCATTAGGTTTTTTACTGGGGAGGTGGAAAACAAACTCCTCATAAAGTAGACATGTTTCAAGGTGGACATTCAGCGCTTCAGGTGATTACCAGATCCTTGTATTAACTGATTAATTTAGATTGATATGCAGAAATGATTTCTGCATATACAAACAATTTTCTCGATTGTGTATTTTTTGTTATTTTCTTGGTGTTTGACCAGGATTTTAGAACAAAAGAGCGTCTGTAGGAAGGAGGAGGCCTGCACTACAAGCGTGGCGTTTTTGCCTTGCCTTTTTTTTCCTTTGAATACTTGAGACTGTGGCTCAAGACTTCGAAAAGAACTGTAATAGTCAGAAATTCGAAGAAAGTGCAAACAAAATTTAGGGGTTGTTTAACCTTATTACTAGTAAAAATGCCTTATAGAACAATTCAAACAAAGTGCATATATCATTTTGAAAAAAAAACTAAAAAACGTAGCGAAATCTTTCTCCTGTTGTGCTGTAGAAGCTCATTTAAATGGTGATAACCCTGGATTAGGTTTATAGTCTCGGCAGTATGAAATAAAACCTTTTGGAGTAGGGGATTTAAGTCTACCAGATTAAATATTAGAATTACTTATAGTAAACTTTCATTTAATTTCAGCTGGCTGTTGGTCAGTCACACTTCGCTGTTGTAACTGTTGAAAATGAACTTTTCACATGGGCTGTAAGTACACTGACCATGCTACTTTCTCACCTTTTCATGTGTAACTCTGTCCACCTTTATCATTTTCTCGTTCTTCCCTTTTCGCCTTTCTCTAACCATTATCCATCGTTTCTTTAGTCTGTTAATTTCCATCCCGTCTGAAACTCTTGAAATGATCCTTCTCCATCTTTTTACTTTCTGTCGCCATCTTTTTCTGGGTTCTATCTCATCTGCATCCCACCAGACATCATCACTCCATCATTTTCTCCACCACTGTCTTCATCGTTATTTACTCACTATTCTAACTAATCTCCATCTTAATCTTTCGTCCGTCTCTGTATCCATACCGCCCGTCTCATCGACCTTCTTTTTGTCAGATTCTCTTTCCTTTCTTCAAACTTCGTGTCCTCCATTTTGGGCCTTTACTGCCGCAATAGACCTGTTTACCGATACGGCGGCCATATTGAATTAATTCGATTTAAGGGGTATTATAGGATGCCCAGGGGGCATGAGCACATTTCGTTTGTATTTTCGAGCGCTTTTCGGGACATTTTTCTTAAAGTTTTCTTAGAAAAAGATTGTAATGGAAAAAAAGATCCTTGTGCCGTGTTTTGATGTAATAATGATAGCCATTTTCCCGAGAAATATACAGTGAAAGACCGTATTTCTAATACTAAGCTAAAAAAAAGGCGATGATTATTAAATCCAAACACGGCACAATTATCTTTTCTCCCATTAGAATCTTATTCTAAGAAAATTTTAAGAAAAAATGTCCCCAAAGGCGCTCGCACAAACAAACAAAATGTGCTCATGCCCGCTGAGCATCCTATAATACTCCTTAAATCAAATTAATTCAATATGGCCGCCGTATCGGTAAAAAGGTCTATTCCTCTATTACCCTGTTCCATATACGTTTTAAATCTGTCTGTACCCCTTTTATTCTTCTATCCATTTCTCGCGGAAACCAGTGGAGGTGTCATGAAATCTCTGGCTGTTTTCTAAGGCTAGTTTTTGACGTGTGTTAATTTTTTCAGAATGTACATGGCGGCAAACAGTTGGTAGGTCAGCTGGGACATGGTGATACGGCCGCTTATCGCATCCCCAAACCAATCGATTCATTACATGGAATTGCCATCAAACAAGTTGCGTGTGGAGATGAGTTCACGGCGTGTGTCACAGGTAGGAATTCAAAATGGAATGGTTTGGCAATTATTAGCTTTCGAAAGTGGAGTTTGTGTTCCTGAACATTGCAAACAATTGTTTGCAACAGAGCAAGATAGATTGAGGTTAAGTTCACCTTTAGTTGTATGAAAAGCTGGAACGATTTGACCTCACTTAGAATAGTCTTCGAAACCTCTTAGAGAGATGTTGCTTCTGCCTATTCTGCTTATTGTTTATTAAACGTATTATTATATTTTTTTAGAGGACGGTGTGTTATACGCGTTTGGCTCAGATTACTGGGGCTGTATCGGCTGCAACAATGAACTGGACGAGGAAGTTGTTACCCCATACAGAGTAAGATTCTTTGATGAGAATCCTGTTGAGCAGGTTGCCTGTGGAGAGTGCCATGTTGTGGCGCTAACAGGTAGGTTGCCTGTGTCTAGTGGATCTTGGACGAAGACCACGTTAATGCTTAGCGAACTCACTTTCCTATAGAGGGCAAAAAACTTTTCTGAGGCAAACAGTTACTATACGCACCATGATGTATTTTTTCAATTAAAACTGTTTTGGCAAATTGAACCAGTGTGATAAACCATCATCTTCTCTGAGAGACCCATCATTTGTGTATTTGCGTCTTGTAGATGTATTTCTGAAATTTTGTCTTAACGTCTACCAAACACAGAGCTGTATGGAGCGTTTTCACATGACGTCACGGCGGCCATATTGGTGTCCTGAAACAATAAAACGACGGCCATGTTGGTGCACCAAACCAATCCTGTGGGCGTTGAACTCTTTTCTTATGCAAACACTTTTTTTTGTTCCAATAAACTTTGCATAGCTGTTGGGCACGTGAGTGGCCACGTGATTGAAATATACAGCGTTTTCATTCACGTCGCCAGCAGCTATGCAAATTTACTGGAACAAGAGAAACTTTTTAAGTAAGAAAAAGGTTCAATTCCCAGAGTACTGGTTTGAGACACCGACGTTTGCACCATTTCGTTGTTTTGGGACATCAATATGGCAGACTTGACTTCATGTGTTAAGGCTCTTGGTGGGCATTAGTTTGATTTACTGTTGATGCAATCTTGACTTCCATTGTTTGTGAATGTATGAGTACAAGCTTGTAGCAAAGTTGTCATGATTAAATACCGCGTTGTCATTCAACAGTTGCTGTGTTTTATGGCCTCCTAATTAGGTTTTTGACTCCTTTCTTCTCTTGTTTCAGCTTCAAAAGAAGTTTACTCTTGGGGTTGTGGAGAGTACGGTAAGCACTAAAGAGATTTTCCTTTGTAAAAAAATGTTTGGAACTGCCTGCGTTTGCCAAATAGAGAGACGCCGTCTCATCCAGGTTAATTTTCGCGGATTATATTTATTCAATTCCGCTTGCCTCCATAAGTGATGGACTAATACATGCACAGCTTCGTTCCCAGTCTTCCTCCGCTCACTGCGCGAGGCCTGCGGGCTAGGGTGGTGCTAATGCTGTAGTCAACTTTCTTTTGTGTTTTTTTTTTTTTCAGGTCGTTTAGGTCTGGGAAATGAAGATGACTGCGCTGCTCCACAGAAGGTAACTTAGCATGCATAGAGCTTGAATGTTTCGCCATTTAATTTTCTTGCAATCTGTCTTGAAATTTTCTTGAACTGTGGCGAGACGGGATGCACGAGGGAGTCGTGATGAAGGCTTTTGGGGAGCAAAAAGTGCGCATTGGACAATTGAGAGGCACTCACCTGCCGCCGTTGTGGCCTGAGTTCCAATCCTGGAAACGACATCATAATCCGACAGTTTTTTTTTCTTGAGTACGCCGGTTTTCCTCTCTCCTCAAAAACCAACATTTCTTAAATCTAACTCGATCCGAAATGTTAGACGAAGAACCACTTTGTGCAGCAGCTACCAGTAAATCGTTGACTGATTCAACGCTCGCTGCAACGTAACACGTCGCATCCTTATTCCTCATACAATTCCTCTACAACTGACGAGGAGAATATGTTGAACAATCAACACAGTTACTGGCCATTTCCTTTATTCTCAGAACATGAACGTTTGCTTAGGCAGTGATATTTCATAGAGAATTTAGATTCTAGTTACTCTTGAGGATAAATGGTTAACCCCTCCAATCCTAGACTAAGTTATGGCGAGATGATCTGTCACTCTAACTGTGAACAAATTTCTATGATGTTACCGTTCAAATTTAACCTATTCAACAGAACTTTCACTTGGTAATATTTATTTCTTAGAATTTTATCAAAAGATGTTTGTCGTTTTGGGGATTGTTTTCTGTCGGCGTTGTTTGGTTGTAGGTGGATGTACCAGCACAGTGTCGGCTGGTATCTGTCTGCTGTGGTTCTGATTTCACCTTTCTACTCACTTCAACTGGGCGACTTCTCGGTTTTGGAAACAACGACGAGAACCAGCTTGGAATCGATACACCACAGTCACTAAGAAAAAGGCAAATAAAGGTTCGTTATTTGAGTACATCCTCATTTACTTTTTTTAACGGAGAAAGGCTCACAAATTTCGTCTTGCGATGGACCGAAAAATTAGTAACACCAAGCCAAGAACTACCGACTTGGTTTATTGTCACAGTATCTCGTGTTAATCTTTCCCTGAATCTTTCGTTTAAGACCGGCGGCTTTGACAAAAATTTTTGAGGTAACAATTTCGTTTCTTCTGTTTTCTTCTTCTCTGCAAAATAAAGGCTTAGTTTTAAAGGAGTTGGAAACACTGATTTTCTTGTCAGGTGCAACTTACTTTGTTTGTGCGAGATCGAGGTTGCGATGAGCAACCTATGTAGATATCTGACGATATATTTGAATGTGTTGTGATCTCCTAAAAGCAAGAACTTTCACCTGATGATAACTAAAACCTTCCCGGTGGCTGTGAAGAAGTCCAAGTGCACGCAATGCTTTTTATGGCGGTACAACCAATTCGTCACTTTAGAAACGCAGAGGGAACTGGAGCCGAAATGTGTCCCGCAATTATTTCTGGATGGTTACTGGGGACGCGCCGGTCGGCTATTGGTCATTTTTTTCCGTGTCCTTAGCAACAACCCCAGAAGTCTTTGCGAACTTTTACACGACTCAGTTTTTTTGTCGTTTCTAAAGTATCGAATGTTCAGACGGAAAAGTATTTCACCTGTTTTTCTGCTTTTTAATTTTCAGTCTGTCTCTGGTCACTTTCCGTATCTCACCCTCCCCAAACCTGTAATGCCTCTTAACAAGTGAGTACTTTTTACACAAAGTTACTTTTATCTAATCGAAAAGAAACATTTTGATATCATTGGCGGGGAGTTTGGTAGACTAAAGAAAGCTGGAGCTGTCACCAACCCAGAACTTCTTCCCAAACGTCTTACGGATGTTATGTTACAATTATTTAGTTATTGATGTAATAAGTAATTGATACCTAATTTTCTATAGTGACATGGTCAACTGTTTTACACAGTCAGTGCTAGTAAAGACTTTTGCGTCTCTGTAAATTGTTGCACCCTAACAGAATACAGCTTTTTCGCCACCAACAGAATTGCTCATTCTGATTCTGATTCTGATTCTAATTTTCTTGGGGGTGGAATGTCGTGATTTGCACATTCCAGACTGGAATATGATATATTTTCGTTGCCTCGTCGACGTATCCGAGACGAACTGCGGGAAACTTCACTTCTTCGCTTGCACCACGTGACCCGAAACGCATTGGCCGTGCGGAATAAGGAGGCCTAGAGACTAGGCAAGTATTTTCAAAAAGGTTTAAGACGTTGCGAAATTGACTGGGTTCGAGTTGATTCTAACTGTACTATGGGACTGTTTACTGGACGCCACCACCACCACCACCACTCCCAACCCCTTACTCCCAAAACAGTCTCGTAGTATTATTCTACAGAACACCGACCCTGGGCCAATTAGTAATGCTTTTAAGAGAAGGTAAGCTAAATCATTAACTTGGAGGTTTAAAAAATCGTTTGCGCGTTTGACTGGTTTGGTGCTGTGTCAAATTGCCCCTTTTTGAAGCTGGTTGAAGTTTATGCTTATTTTTTTTGTTGATGATGATGTTGTTGTCATTGTTTTTTAAGATATAGTATAACCTCTGTCTCAGCTGGAAGGACACATTCTGCAGTAATAGATGGTAAGAGTGACACGGCTTTGTTCATTACTGGTGGATTTCCACTGTCGCGTAATCTTTAGGTGCTTACGCACGTAAATTTTACGTGCGTAAATTTAGAGGCAATGTATGAAGTGTCGCGCGTAAATATAAAAGTTGAACCTCGCTCAACTTTTAGGTTCACACACGACACTTCATACATTGCCTCTATTTTATTTATGGAAGGAAATTTTACGAGCGTAAGCACCTAAAAGTTACGCGGCAGTTGAAATCCACCCTTATCTTATTGTGATATCAGTTCCTCGGCTAGGAGAGTAGACGAAGTTTTTCAGGTTACTGATTTATCAAGGTATCAATCGTGGAGGCTTTGTCATGCTAGTCTAAACAGCGCGTACGTTTTGATAGGAGGCCTTAAATCATTTTGTTCTTTCTTGGTAATTTTCGCACGAATAGAATTTAAACTTCCTGATAACCTTTTGAGATGTTTTGTTTGGTTTTCACAGCCTACGGTCGGCTTATAACAGTGGGCTCCAACAAGTTTGGACAGCTAGGACTGGGAGACTTCAAGCCACGGACGGGGCCTTGTGTCGTGGGAGGCGAAATGGTTGGCAAACGAATTGTTCAAGCAGCATGTGGAGATGACTTTACAGTTGTGGCTACTGCTGGTAATAACTTATTACTTACACTGGTTTAAACACTAGGAAGCCAGTTAACTATACTTTATTTGGCCACCTTTCGGTCTTTGACTGTTGTTTCTTTCCTCAGATAACCAGATCTACTCATGGGGGAGGGGTGATAATGGTCGGCTTGGCGTGTTGACGGACAGCCTAATGCGGGCCAAGGGTGGAATCCCGTGCACTGCAGTCCCGCGCCCGATTTTTGGTGCCCTACACGTGCTCTCGTGCGTGGCGTGCAGACACTGGAATTCGCTTATTGTGGCGGAGCGTGTTCTTAGTTCGCGCACTGTCAAGCGCGCGGGCTCATCAGGGCGCTCTTTGGAATCTCAATCGTGTAAGTAGCCTACTTTTCTTCTTTCTTGTAGCGTTTTGTATTTGTATTTGTATTCTATGTCTATTCTTGCCATCCCGTTGCTACAGACGACAGGAACAGTTTCAATGTTTAAATATGGCTCTAAATAACAAAACTAGACCCTTATGTTTAAGGAACGTGTTCTTTTCAAGCAGCAGGTGATCAAAGTGACTCTGTTTTCTCGGATCCAATGAGACTGGATATCAATCAAGACAGTGGTCCAGCCGATGGGAATTACCTGTACGGAGACTTGACTAAAGACTCTGGAGTTGGCCGCTCACCTCGAACACCGGGGCCTGGGTCCGACCCCAGAAGTCTGAGCGAGAGTAGCATTCCGCCAGCTTGGCTACAAGATGTAAGGGGGCGTTCAGTTTTTTTTTTTAAACCCTTATTTGCCTGATTCCTTTACATCAGCTAGACTTAACTTCAATACATCGTTTTGAAAACGGGCTAGAGACACTGTCCGACTGGAGATAGCCTCGTGTCTAGCAGACGAAAATTTAAAGTCAGTGGGTGCGAATAAGAGTAAATTAGGACGTTTACGCAACCACGTCACTAGTCAAATGTATTTTGCGATCTTTCAAATTTTATTGCAATTACTCCAGCCCGTTTTATTCGTCAACCGGTGAGAGTTGAATTGTCTGAAACTGGCGCACCTAAGTGAAAAAAGAGACAGGAAAATTCGTCTTCGTGTGTTCACGTCCTCAATAAAAAGTGGCATTTAGGTATTTCATGCCGTAGTCATGCAGGGGCATTATCGTTGTCGTTTCCGTTGTAGTCGTTGCTGGGTAAAATCCCCGATGACTGCACAATACGTCAGATGGGTTTGTACGATGGTTAGGGTAAAAGGCTGTCATTGAGATTGTGTGACTGTTGATATAGTCGAGTGAGAGATATTGTGAAATTTAAGTCTGTGTTCGCACTTGGTAAGCCTGCACCACAGACGAAACTAAACTCTGGTTAAGTCCATCTGCGAAACAGCGACGAAATCTTTGTTCTGGGCCCCCACCTGTGTACCAGGATTTGACTACGCGCTATGATTGGCCTGTTCATGTTAAAAAGGCAAAGTAAGAGAAAAATTTTCTTATCCAATTGTCCCTCGGACAAGCACTATATTAAATTTGGTTGTCCAATTCCCCGAGAGTTCTTATCCAAAACGTTTTGCCAGGTTCCTAAGCTAAATGGAGCTCGTAAAGACAAATGAAATGGTCGCGGTATAGCAAAGTTAAAAGGAATACTTAACCTTATTTTGTCAAGTATGAGGTTTGCTTTTATGACTGTAAGGTAAATTTTAATTCTACAGTAACTTGAAGTCAATTTTTTTCAACTGTTTCTGTATTTTTTCTAATTAAAAATGTGCCTGTCCCACAGACAAGTCATTTCAAAGGTTTACATGTCCGAACTAAATTTCTACCTGTCCCGGACAATCGGCCTTGTGGATTTGCCAATCAGGATCAAAGGAAATTCAAAACGCATTTCAGGTAATTCGTTGAATCCATTGGAGGCTCAGAACAAGGAGCTCGGGGTTGCTTCGCAGACGTTACTAACGGAGGCTGAATTACGTCTGCGACGTAGGCTACCCTTGGTGCCCAATTACGATTTTTCATTTGGCATTAATGAATACCTGCTTGCAGATATCTGGATAAACCTCTTTTCGTCTTGTAGGAGCTTGATCAGGCGGAGTATATTTCCATGGAATCGGGCAGCAACTCTGGTAGAACCTCGTCCCAGGCTACCGCATCCAGTCGTGACCGCAATCTCTCCAATTCTGAAAGCACGGTACCGGATTGGCTGAAAAATGTAAGTGTTCGATTTGCCAGTCTACAAATGCAGATAATAGCGGGCGACAACAGGAGCCCGCAATCCTAATCTCCAGGTTGCTATTACGCATGCGTCGCATGTATGTAGCCAGCATTCGTTTCGACTTCCACTAAGAAAGAGTGGAATGGCACAGAACGCAATTTGATCACGCGAGTTTCAAACTTCTATTCGTCGTTATCAGATCACGCGTGTTTTGACCATCTGACACGTGAAACCTACGCAAAGTACAGCATTGGAGCAAGAGCGTTTTGACGTTCGATCGTTGTCGCCCGCATTCCATAACCTTTGGTTATTACTAGTTTGTTTAAAATCGTTAATCAAAGACACCAACAGAAAAAAATCCATTTAACATTATTGTTCACAGGCTTGAATCCGTATTCATTTAGACGCCCATCCTCTGTCACACACACTTAGACCCTGTTTACATGGAGTGGGGGACCCCGGTCTAGTGTGGTAAGTTTCTTTTGTTTTCACGCTCTGGGGGACACAAAACAAAAGAAACTTACCCCACTAGACCGGGGTCCCCCACTCCATGTAAACAGGCCCTAAGTATGTTGGCGTGGCAATTGTTAACAACAAATAGGCTTAATTGACCAATCTAATCAGGTCATCAGCCAGAGTTTGATATCATCAACTGACGAGAAACAACTCACTTTGAAAATGACTACCGCTCAGGTTGTCGAAACGTAAGTCACTGTCATCAACAGTCGTATAGACCTTTTTACCGGTACGGCGGCCATATTGAATTTATTAGATTTAAGGAGTATTATGGGATGTCCAGGGGGCACTCGCTCAGTATTTACGCGCGCTTTTCGGGCAAAAAGAGAACTTCAATGTATAATTCTCGGGAAAAAGGCGATCATTATTACTTCTAAACACGGCACAACGATCTTTTTTTTTTCCCGTTACAATATTTTTGTAGGAAAACTGGAAGAAAAATTGGCTCGAAAAGCACGCGAAAATACTGATGCGAGTATATCGGATCGTGCTCATGCTCCCTGGGCAATTAATTCAATATGGCCGCCGTATCGATAAAAAGGTCTATTGAGGACTACACTTTGCCTAGTCCCTGTACGGCGTCTTTCCAGGCCCTCTCAGTCAATGCATTTCGGTGACGTATCCGAGACGAACGGCCGGGACCACGTGACCGGAAACGCATCGGCCGGGCATAATAATGAGGCCTAGGGACTGGGCAAGACTACACTCACACGGACGATCATTTCCTCTAATTATGACATGACCTCTGGGTTCAAACCGCTTATTACTGAAGTAGACTTTAGAGTCAGGTATCTTTCGGTGCAATTCAAAGATGTCATTTTGTTTTACTGAACGATGAAAACTTCCATCATTGTTCCTGTAAGTTCAGATCACTCAGTCACTTGTGCGTCGGTAATGCGCGCGCTCTATAGGCCACTTCTATTCCAAGACTCTCTGTTACCCTGCTTGTCTTTGATTCCTATTTTTCATTCTCATTGTATTTTCAGGAGCTCCGTGAGTCTGAATATATTCCCATAGATGGCCATGCGTCGCCCTCATCCAGAAGCAAGTGAGTAGTTTTCCTTCTAAACTCAGTCGTCAATAAGTTTAAGGTTAATTCTTGGACTCCTAGCTGCTGGTAAAATCAAGAGTCAACAAAAAAATTGAAAGGATATTTCCTAATAAATCCTTTAAAATAAATAGCACCATGTGAAAGTACTGCTGAAGAGGTTCATATGATGATAGTCAAGAGTTCTTGGGAATATATTCATCCAAAGTCTCTATATGTAGCTGTTTTTTTTTTTTTTCTGTCAAGAGCGAAGGAAGAAATTTCGATGACGCGTACGTGCAAAAGAAGCTAACTGGTGCCTGCTACACACGTTTCTTGTTATGAAAACAACATCCTTAAATCCTAGAATCAACATATCCTCCAGACACCATATTAGTAAGGTGCTGACAAGGAGGATTTGTTTAACAATCACGACCTTTTATAAATAGTCACTTCTTTTGTTCTCATGGCCTTCATGTTTGTTTACAGAGTGGTATTTTAAGGGCAAATGACTTGTTGGTCTTTCTTAGCGACTAAAGGATAATTTTTCACTTTTTATGTTTTAGTGGGATTTCCTTGTCGTCAGTAGCAGTTCAGTGCGATCTCCAGCCAAGTAAGAGAAAATCGTCAAGTTTTTGGTAGATTTTGTTTAAATTATTTTATTTCGTAGTATACTAAGTTAAACATTTGTTAACAGAATTTTTATTACTGCATTATAGGCGATGTAGAAGAAATGAAAGCTTTGTTACTACAGCTGCAACAGGAGAACGCCAAGGTTAATATAATGATTATTACAGTGCTGGAGACTCGATGATACATCTCACTCTTTTATTCTGGAGATGACTACCGAACAGGTTGTCGCAACGTCAGTCACTGTCAACAAATGTCCTGTTCAGGACATCGCTCATTCGCACAATCATATTCCACCAAGAGAGAATAACGAGTCAGAAATGAAGTCTTACGGCGTTAGGCAGGATATGTGGATCTCACTCACGTTATTTTAAGAGGCTGTAATGAAACAAAAGTCTGATTCCTGGGGCCCCGTACATTTTAATCGGTTGTTTGAAACGTCATGAAGTCCGCGCGCGCCTGCCTCAAAGCAAACAATGCAGAATATTGTAATGGCGACACACCAAGAGAGCATAATGAGAGCATAATGTCCCCTTATTCTAAAAGTTTGCGGACTTCTCCGGAAAACATCTTCCGATTAATTTCAAGGGTTTAATTTGTCTAAAAATAACCTTGTTGAAATTCACATATCCCAAGGGCTAGACTGGGCTCTGTCCCATTATTTTCTCTTGATTCCACCTACTTATGAAACTTCTAATCTACAGTATTGTACCGGTTTCAATTCTGGTATGTATGTATTGACTTTAGAGCGCTTTAGATTCTAAGACGAGAACGACTACGAGTGCGAGATTTTCTCAATAGTAAGTAGCGCTCGCGCGTAAACAAGAGTCATTTTGGCGGGAAAACGTGGTAGCCGCCGTCATTCTACTACGAGTTTTAGTGAGAGTGTCGTAGTGGCGGAAACAAGTTATCAAATGTTTGAAGTTTTAGCGTTTTGCAATCGGGAGAGGTCTTAAGCTCCTTCAATAACGATAAAAGTACTAACTTTTCTGGTGAAAAAAAGTGCAGTGAAGAATTCCGGGTTGTCTACTTTTTGACAATTCGCGGAAAAACTTTAATTAAATCAAATCTCGTAGTCTTAGTCGTTCCCGACCTCAAATCGAAAGGTCTCTTTATTTAACTGATGACTGGTTTGTTAGTGGGATATGAACCTAAATCTTACCGGCAGGTAAAAACGCAGTGTCCGCCGCGATTGTTCTTTCTCCTTGGTTTTATTGTGACCACGGTTTCTTTTCTTTTGTTGTTTTCAGCTTAAGGAAAAGTTAGCTCAACAGAGTAAGAAAATGAAGACTTTACAGCAAGAGGTAATTTATCGTCAATTTTTTTACACTGGCCACGGTTGTTTAGATGTTGGATAGCGCTATCCACTGGATAAATACTATCCAGCGGATAACTATTAGGGAAACCCACTGCTCTCTCCAGTGGATCGCGCTATCCACCTTTCGAACAACTGGCCCCTGGCGTTTATTTGAATTTGCCTAGCTTTGTCAAACTACACTAAACGAAGTCAAACTGGTTTTGTTTTTCTCCAGAACAACACATTTATTGCTAATCAAAAGAAGTTTTGGGAGCTGATCGACTCGTGGCATAAAGATTGTCAGAAGGCTTCATCACTGAGCTCTCAAAATAAACAGGTATCGTTATACACGCTATTTGTGCCTGTAGTCTCAGATGTTTGTCCAGTTCGTTGTCATGTCCAGACGTCAACGCTAATGAGATTCATGCTCCTTATGGTAGACATCACGAAATGTCCCCTTACCTTAATCTTCACCTAAACTTAGAGCCTGAGAAAACAGCAGACATTTCGCTACGGCACCGCTGTTTTCCCCGCGAAATGACGTCTGAGAAACGACTGATGACGTGTTACTACCTAGATCTGGGTATTGCTTCTGATTGGTTGAAACAAACTTCCCTCGCAGCACGACCAGTAAGAAGCACTACCCAGATGGAATTTCTGCGCTCGTTCTTCAGACGTCATTTGGCGGGGAAAAAAGTGGCGGCGTTGCGAATTGCAGTTCTGTCAAACATGACGTCTTGTGCGTCTTGCAGTCAAGCGCTCTAATGACTGAGCAAATCCTGCTGCGGTTGAAATTGCCATTCATTTGGTGTAATATGAAACAGCCGTGATCCGAGTGCATTTCTGGTTATTATACAATAACATTACTTCCTCAAGAATAATTTTATGATCGGAAGTCTTCTTGCTTGGCGAATTCTATCCTAACCCTTATCTGTCGCTGGCTAATGCTCATTTGTCCTTACATTTTGCCGCCAGGGTGACAGCAGCAATAGTCTCCAACCATTAGCGGAGGCGGCCTCCACAGAGTCATCTGACGACACATGGGATGTTTGATATTACAAGCTTTTTTCTTGCCATAGTCACCAGGATGAGGACACAAGAAAATCAGTACACATAAGTGTATCGTAGCTAGTTCAGCAATGGTGCATAACAGTCATACACAGTCTGCGAGCAGCCTGAGTCTCTTATTTCTCTTTGTAAAGTTATTCCAAGCTTAACCCATGAACGCGAGCGGTGAAACCGTGAGCCGCAATGAACGAGGCGTTATAAATATCTTATTGTAACGTCGTTGTTCGCAATCGCTCGGGTGAGAACTGGACAGATTTTTAGAGAAAAGGCGGACTGCAAGTAGTCGTGAATAAGAGGGAAAAGTTTTGCTTAGCTTCTTAAATGTTTTGCTTTTACGAGGTAATGTTTCTTTTTACATAAAGAAAATCTATTTATTAGTCGTATTATGTTATGAATATATAGTTAGAGAGTTTTCTGGTTTTTAATTGAATATGAATTGGCGGTATGTTTCGGGGGAGGACTTATCCATCGTCTCCGAAAGTGTATAAATTCCAAATTTAACTAAGAAATGTTGCTTATTATATTTCATAAAATTCTAAAAAGTTCAAAACAAATTAGAAATTGAAATTATAACTTAAGTAACGTCGTCAACACTAGTTGACGATCAAATGAACCAATCAGATCACACTTAGTGGGCGCGGCTTGCCAAGCGCGGGAAAAAATGGCGGGAAAATGCGTATGGGTAACTCATTATTCATTTTCGTTTTACTTATGATTGGTTTAGAAAGAAAGAAACGTCTTCCTTGCGGCCGTTGTCTTTCTCGTCACGCAACGCTCTTCTTGATGGAACACAAGCTATGATTGGACGCACGCGAAAGTTCTGAAAATGTAACCGTGACTGTGATTGGCTAAATTGGAGGAGATTTTGAGGAAGATCATTGCGCGACGAGACAAATAAAGGGTGCGCGGAAGATCACAAACTAAAGCGAATTTTTTTAACCAATCACAGATCGTAGCAATTCAATTTCACGACCCGATTAAAAGTGGAGGTTATATTTAGAATATATCAATTTCTAAAGTAATTAAAAGAAAGTTCCGCGCTCTTGGTAACCTCCCTTAAAGTAAGATAAATGTTTGCACGAATTTTCAGTAATTCGATGACAGAAAAACTGAAGGGTACAAATTTGCGTCTTTAAGGTGCAAGATTTTATCTATTTATGACTGTATTTAAAACTGTTTTCTAGTATCACTTAAATCATAATACGGTATTTAAGGACATTTAAATGGCTAAACTTTCAGCACGCAGAGTAGTTCTTACTATAACAAACTTGTTTAGTGAATTAGTTTATGTTCACGCTTACCGGAAAGAGTGCTTTTCGTGCCGAGACGAAAAGCTACACGATAAAATATGAACAGCAACGGTACTGAACTGGAACAAGTCATTCACACACATCGAACATCATGCCGGAGCGGTTGGCCTAGCCTGTGTAGCTGGCGGTATTGTGTAGTCGTCGAGTGAGATTTGGCGGCGGAGCCGTCACGATTTCAACCGCCTCGTCCCTACTCCCTTTTTTTGGAACACGGCTCCGCCGCCAAAACTTTAATCTCGCACCCACACAATACCGCCAGCTACGCAGGCTACGGTTGGCCGAGAGGGTTCGGTGAACTAAATCCCAATCCTCACTCCTGAATATTTACCCGTCTCATTCCGTTCCAGTCCTCTTTGATACTTTTTCACTTCCGCTACGGACCGAATACCTGTGCGCGCGAAGTGCGCGCTCGGTGCAGCTTCGCTCTGTGACAGAAATCGCGCCGAAATCACTGTTCTTGTGTGTGAAAAGAAGCTGTATCTGGTACGATTTTCGCGCCTGAGCAAAAGCCATGCGGTAGAGCGTGAACAATTAACCTTAATAATGGTAATCTATTTATGGTTCGACAATGAAGCGTTCCGGAATATACAAATAATTTAAGTTCTATAATTATCAATGTTGTTAGTGAGGAAACACTTTAAATGTAAAGGACTTAGTTTCATGTGCACGCATCTCGATTGTTAAGCTGTTTATTTAATATTCTATTTATGACTGTGTATGTTCGTTAAAAAATAATTCCTTAGTTAAGACAATGTTTCATTAGTGGAAACTAGCAAAAAAATTAACCTTTTGACTTTTCTTTGTGTATTTATAACTGTTTCATAGTTAATTAAGGCCGGTTTCAAACATCGTGTTACTGCTGTTCTAAGCTGGCTCGACTTCAGCACGACTGTAGCATGACTTGGTTTCAGATGTCGAATTTAACTCAGTTGAATGAAATAGCTTTTGCGGAAAACCAAACTTAAACTGAGTAAAAAGAGGTTTAGTAAACCTTGAAACTGTTTTCTAATGTATTTATAATTTATGAGTTGAGTTCAACATGCTGCAGTGGCACGTCGTTTGAAACCAAGTCGCGCCACTGCCGTCTAACACGACAAAGCACGTTCAGTAAATACCACAACACCAGTTTAAAAACGCCCAAGGAAATTTAATAAGCGCCCCGATAACCGATGAAAATTTTTATTAACACTGCATTTTAAAAATGCGAACTTAAGAAAGATTTAGAGTCACGGTTACGGCAAATGGCAGATTCAGGTAAAGAATTTATCAACATAGAAAATAACTTGATAAAAAACAGTCCAAAACAATTCTTATAGATGGAAATAATGTGAAACTAATAAGTTTTGTAGAAATAAAGGGATCAATTTTAGGTTTCTGGAAAACTGCCCGCCTAACCCTCCCCTAAGCGAATATTTTGCCCTTAATGAGAAGTAAGTGTTAATGTTGGCTTAAGGGAGGGGAGGGTGGGTAGATTGCCAGAAACCTAAATTTATCCAAATAAGGAACAGTTAAAGACAAGTAAAGGAAAACTTGGTCACGAGGTAGAAATTCATGTTTGCCGTAAACGTGATTCGAAATCACTCTATTATATTTTAGTTGAGAGCGACCGAATATTCTCCATTGGGGACCCCACCTTAAAGCGAAGACCCCAGTAAAACCACGAGATATTTCGTCCCAGTTACAGTGAAATGTGTGGGACAAAACAGTGATTAAGAGTTTTCCCATGGGAGCGTAACTGTCCAAAAATGGCCGCCGTGCTAGATCATGCTAGAGTGAAAAGTAAAATAGCCGCCACCTTGGGGTTGACACATACTAAGGCAGTAAAATAGCCTTAAAAAGTCAAAATAATAAAAATACATTACGAAGTATTCTTGTTTTGTGTGGTAATTAATCGTCCAGGATGTGTTTTATCGTGTTTAGAGAAGCATCAGATCTATGGTCAAATTTCGTCATTGCAGGACCCGCGGAGTGGGTGGGGCCAAGGAACCCTTGACTCCCCGCCCCCCTCCCCCCACCAACGTTTTGTGCCAAATAAAAAAAAATCTGAAAGTTCTTTACCCCTACGTTAGGTTGTTTGACTAGATTAAGGTTCTTGCGGAAAGTGTGATCAGAAGCAAGAAAACGTACTCTCTCTCTGTTCGTTCTTGCATTGACGTACATAATGATCAAGTTATCTGTATTATGCAGCCATTATCTCGCGGAAGATATTCGAAACGGAAGAAAGTTTTAGCACTGCAAATCGTAGCAAAAATCCCACACAATCCCTCCTGCAATACCCTAACCACGTCATAAGAGGCACTTGAAGTGAATCGGCATGCTGGGAAGCCGGAAGAGAGCGATAGGAATTTCAGGCTGGTTCTCGAAAAGTGGAAAACACACTGCATTGCAGCTTTTCAGCTTGGTACTCCGTTCTTTACTAGAAAAAATCTGTTAATCCTAGCATTCTTGTAAGAGCTAGAAGCATTAGAACAGGCATAGAGACGTCCTCAGACCACCTATCTACCTCCCCCCACTCCCCGCACCGCTTCTCTACGCTTTTGAATCCAGCGCCCCCCTCACTTGAAAAACAGCTGCGCGCGCGGGCCCTGCCTTGAATGCTTTATTGCAATTGATTAGCGGTATTTGAAACAAGGGCATATTGAAAACAGGAGATCCCTTTTAGTTTTCGTGTTTCTTAATAAATCCTTTGAATCGACTTTTTCGCCTTTCAAATGTTTACTCGCCCAAGACCAAATTTATTTGAAATGTTAATTAACCTTACAAGTCCCCAATGGCTTGACAGGCCTGACTTGTTGACTTGCTACATAGACACGTGCGGTAAGAAAATCCAATCAGAAATTATTATTCAAATCAAACGTTGCTCCGCGCCACATTCAAAAATTGGCAACTTCAGTTGTGAGAGATGGCGAAGGTTGCTTACGAAGGAGAAGCAAGACGCTCTCGTTCAAACTGCCCATCCGTTTAAACTGCCTTTTTTAGCTTCACAAAGAAAGCTAACTGTGAACGAAGTAGTCTGGGATGTTAAAACCAGGTAAATTATACTTTGTTAAATTTATCGTCTGTGCGGTTGAAATTTGTGTTCCGAAGAGTCCAACTTAAAATTAAGTTATTTCGTTGTCGAATGTTCTTCTTTTAAACTAATTTGTTCTCAGAGGATAAATAGCGAGTAGAAACGAAGCCAAATGCTCACTCAGCAAGATTTAGTTATAGTTTATCATTTTGAAAGCCCTTTGTAGTTCGTACATGGTGGAACACGTGGCCGTCTAAAATACAAGCGAAGCTCAGTAACCTAGAAAATCATATTTTGCTCCTCGTCCAAACTCATATTGGTGACACGGACAGTAATTCACCATAAAAAAAGACAAATTTGATTCATTTTCTTTTCCCGGTATACATGACAGAGAGATTTTGATAAAGTTTAATTACCTCGCCGGTAAAATATGGCCACCGTTCCCACTTTAAATGATATGGACCAATAAAAGCTGTAACTGAAGGCCTCAAAGTTTGCAGAAGGTTTTTTTTTAAGTTTTTTTTTTCAATAATTAAAACAAAAATATATACTCAAAAGAATAAAGAAAAAGTACTTTGCACTTAAACATTATTCAGTAACGGGACAGGAAAATGTGACTTGGTTGTCAACATTCTTAGTTGGGCAATTTTGAACAACTCTTTTTGTAAACTCGCTACTTGAGTTTTCGCTTTCTCGTATGCAACTACTATAATCAGGTTTGAATATCTCCAATTTATTGAGGTCTTGCTCTGAGATTACTCTTGCATTCAAACAGGGTCTTGTAACAAACGAACCATAGTTAAATGAGTGAATTGACGAAACAAGATATACATGCAACTTATAGTTTAAAATGATTTTAAACAGTCACATACATCTACACGAACAGTTTCTTCCCGAGATCGATCAAAGATTGGATCGTTCTACCGTTAGATATTAGGACGGATAGAGACTTTGGAAATTTTTAAACGCGCTGTTCAGGAACAGATTTTATTTATTTAATTACATAATTCTATTTATTTTGATTATTTTTATTATTATTATTTGCCTTGGCTCAATGAGCAACCTTTGCCAAGTACAAATGTAGAACTAGAAATACGATTAGTAATATTGTTAGACAATTGACGATTTGATAGATTGATACCAAGAATGACTTTTAAATTGCCATAAAGTTGTAAAATAGTGATTAGCCTTTTAATAAATCAGATAGTTTTCATTATATTTGGCCAGATTTCGGCTAAATTGCCTTGATGAAAACCAACCTCGTATGTCACTACATCGAACCTGGATTGTTACCATGGTGATGAACATTGCAATTTACGAGTCTTACTACAAATAGAAAAGATTCGAAACGATCGTCAGCACAGCCCTGTGTTAGTTTGATTTAGTCTTTGCAAACCTTTTCAGGGTATGAGAGTTTTCAATTGCAACTGAATTTGAAAAATGAAGGTTTTCCGCCTTTTTTCTTCGTTTCTCTATAAGTAGCTATGTGAAGCGTTCAGAGCCTTATCACTACTATTTCCTCAGCTTCTCATCTTTCTAATTTTCAGCCGTCAGACCAGATCATCTTCCTCAGTCAGACCTCCAGATTAGACCATGGAACCAGACCGCATCAGCAGCCCGTAAGATCCGCCTCAGATCAAACCACCACACCAGACAATCAGATGAGTCTCAGATCCGACCACAGATCAGACCACGCATCAATTCCCACACCAGACCATCGTCAGATCAGACCACCAGATCAGATAAGCCCAACAGACTACCATCCTTTACAGCTTCACTTCGAATCAGCACAGTACACCCAATCTCGTGAAATGGTACAGGTTAGGTGCATTCATTATGGGTTGGGTCAAGGGGGGTATATAGAGCTCTGGATGAACCTTGCAAAGCATACTTTCCACACACGTTCGGCCTGAAATTTTCGGACATCTTTTTCGGCTTACCTTAACTGTAGTTAGATTAGTTAGGGGTGCCCTGGGCTGGTTAGGGCCTCCCCTTCCTTTTTTCATTAGCTGGGTTCCTTTGCAGGTGTTCGGTCATAGTTTCGGCTTTTAGGATTCGGCTCGGCTTCTAGGAAACGATTCGGCTGCGTTTTTTGCGCCTTTTTCGGATGGGCTCACCGCTGGTTTTCGTCGTCGTCGTCGTCGTCACTGCAGTCTCCCGCTTAGTTGCGCCAAATTCAATTCATCACACTTCACTTGGTAGACATTGCGCTGGGCAAGTGAAGCATTCATTCGCAAGGTTCAACCACACAGTTATTATTTTAAGACGTAACGTAGTAAACTAGAGACGTAAGATCATTCAGCTGCAGTGAGAGGACCTCATTTGGCCTCTGCTTACAGGCTCAATGGTCTCTCTGGTTACAGGTAGATAGTTAGGTTAGTCTCGCAAGTTCGAGTCTACTCCTACCTATACCAATTTGACGTTTCATGTTAAACAGTTAATCTGTACTAATGCAAAAGAGAATAGTTTTGATGCGCGTTGATTTTCAGATTTCGAACTTGTGAGGTTAGATCAGTTGACAGGTTTAGTCTTACAAAGAAGGTAATTTGCGACCAGGCGTTTCTTCCCGCGAAGAGCTAACACCT